GAACAAATGCTTCTGTTTTTGATATTCAACAGGTGAAAGCAGAAATGGAGAAGCTGATAAAGATGGTGTGCACAAAGCTGGAGGACATGGCAAAGCAGCTGGCTTCTCTTCAACGCCAAGTGCAGGCTGTGGCAGATGCTCAGGCAACCAGTTTTACTGGGATGGAGAACAAAGTTGATGCTGCTGAGAAGAACATACTGCACAGCACTCAGGAGATATTGGAGACGATTAACAGGGTGGCTTTTGAAGAGGTGGAGGAAGCTTCCAATGACCCCAAAACCCCAGCTGATGAACCTACTTACTCACCATAATTGCAATTTCAAACTTGTCACTTTTACTTCTTTTGTTTTTGCTTGTTCCATTCGGATTTCAGTTTGTAACTCATAACTTTTGCTGCTCTTTCCTGCTTTTGTTTTCGTCTATGGGAACTTGGCTCGTATTTTTCATATGATTGTGTGTGGTTGCTGATGATTTAGTACCTAACTTATTTTTGCCTTGCATTATTTGAGCTCACTATTCCCTACGTAGTCTAGTGGGAGTATAGCAAAATGTTTTTTTTCAATCTTTTGATAATGCCAAAAGGGGGAAAAGACAAACTTCATGGCGGCTAAAGTGTTTACCAAGGAACTCACACATCGAAGGTACAAACTTTTGCCAAGTTCAGTTTTTAAAGTCTTTGTTAATTTTTCTTTTGCTCAGTTTTTTTTTTTTTTTAAAAAAAAAAAAAAAAAAAAAAAAAAATACTTTTTAATATTTTTCTAAGTTCTTTAATTGCTTTTTTTGTTTTCATGCCTTACTCAAAATTTTTGTTGCATGCCTGGATGATTTTATTTACCTAAGTTTGTCAATGTTTGTCATCATCAAAAAGGGGGAATTTGTTGAGCCTTTTGGTTTTGATGGACAAATTGACAAACTCGACTAATGAATGTTTTGAGTCTTTGGTGAATAAAGGATTCAAGCAAAGTTCGTTCCGGAGTAGGAACTTGGATGCGGAGTAGCATTCTTTAAAAAGCCTCGTGCAAATCTCACGTTCTAGTTTTAATTGTGAGCACTCAATAATATAAAGTCGGAAAGGAACTCAATGACTTATGTTAAAGACTACTGGAATAAAAGTTAGTTTTAAAAGATAATTTCTTAAAGAAAAGATAATTTGTAAAAGTTTTAATAAAGATAATTATCGAAGATAATTATCTAGTTGTTTTAATAAATAATAAATTTATCTTTTCAAATAAAATCTTTTTAAACAAACTTTTGATAATCTTTTAAATAAATATTTGATAAAGTTAGCAAGTGGTTTTTCTGTGAGAAAATCTTTTATACGGCTAATGGTTATCAAGTTGTTAGGATAGTGGTTTAATTAGATAAGGCTAGGAAACCTCTTCATGATCACAATCTGTCAAGATAACTCCACAAGTTGTTAGTGGGTTGTTGACATGTGGACGTGATTATGGTGGAGGTTAATGACTAAGCCTTCTCTATAAATACTCATGCAAACTATCTCAGAAAAACATTACTCTTAAGCATAAAAATTCCAGTAGCCATCTAATAACATAAAGAGAGTTATTTTCCTTCATATATTCTTGAGTGCAATAGGTATTTGTAATCACAGATTGTATACAAGTACTTTGGGGTTGGGATTGTGAGTTTGTAAGGTGAGGTTAAGGAAGCTTCGTTGCTGAAGTCTTCTGTGAGAGTTGGGAACAAGTTCCTAATTTGGGGAACTTGTTAACGGGTTTGAATCTTCACTTGTATAGAGTTTGATTACATAGTGGAAATTTAGAAAAGCCTATATCTTCTCTCGTCATTATTTCATTTAGTTAAATTCCGCAAAAAGTTTTTAGATTTCACCTCAAATACAATTCACCCCCCCTCTTGTATTAGCCAGTTAGACTTTCAAAAAGAGTTTTTATGGAAAAAAAAATCCTAGAAAGATCAAAAGAAGTTGTCACGGGATCAACGTCATATTAATAGGGGGAGCAGCATTGTACTTTCAAACATCTAGAACACATGACATAGCTATAAATGCATAAATAATTAAATAAATGATCCAATTGACCTAAAAAATCTAGTATATTAGCAAGATGTTTGAAAAACTTTTGTAAGCATTAGATTGGAATCTACTCCACAATTGCATTATCTTCGAACTTTCCAAATGATGGGTGGTAGATTATCATATATTATTATCTTTCTAAGCTACTATTGTAGTCATTAGCACTATGTTTTTGTTGGTAACCAAAACCATTAGAGACAAATCTTCTTGCTAAATGACATTTTGACATCTAATTATTATAGTACCACATTTTCCTCTCTATGTTATATAACTAAATCATTGTACTTTATACTAATATCTAATTATAGTTCATCAAAATATATAAATATCTAATTATATATAGTTCTTTCTTTTCAAGTATTTTTTTTGGATAGAAATTTAATTAAATACACTAAAACATACTTTGATAGGTACATGTATGATATGAATTGAACCCTCGTCTTTCCTTTTATATTAGGGTCATGAAGATGGGCAATGGCTAAACTATACACACGTGCGTGTCATATGATTGGTTTTCAAATAGAACCTCATAATCAACAAGTTCATCAATCTCCTAAACTTGCATCCTTGTTTTAGTAACTTTGTGGTTTTTAAGTATACACCTTACTAATTACTATATTGTACACGTAATTAGTAAGGTATACAAGAGAATTAAATCAACTAAACCATACACTAGCTATTATACTTAAGTGAAGCTGTTAGAAAATGATTGAGAGACATACTAAAGATGGACCTACCGTTTGACTTAAATCACCTTTTTTGCCTTAGTTTATGATTAATTATCATAGTTTATGATTCATTAATAGATGTCTACATCACTAATTGAAATATAAAGAGCTAGTTATGATAATAACATATCATGATATGGTTGGTGAATATGGTTTAGATAAGCATGTACTTATACTTTATTTTCTCATCTCCTCCAACCTCCCACATGAAAAATATTCATACATTACAATTATTAAGTTATTTTACTATTAATATAACTTGGCTTAACTTAACATAGTATTTAATGTCCTCATGACACGTAGGTTTAAAATTCTATATATTAATAACCTCTTGTCTTCAAGAATACATTTAAATAGACGTAGTATTCTCTTAATTAAAAAATATGATATATTATTAATAGATCCATTCCACCATTAATATATGTAGTGTAGTTGGTTTTAAAGTCCAACCAATAATCTCATTGTGAATTTGTGATAGTGCTTGCATTGCTCCCTTACCTTTGAATGTTCTTCTTCTTTGTTGTCAATAAATGTGGCATGATTGCATCTTGCACCTTGCTAAGGTAAAATTAAACCACTTTCTAAAGTAGCAACTTTACTAGCTAGATTAAACCACTAATCCACTATATTAAGAAGCAATATATTTTAGTCTTTTGATTTTACCCACTAAATACTTCCTCCGTTTCAAATTAGATGACACAGTTTGACTTTGTGCACTTTTCACATAACTATCTATCAGCGACGGGACTACAAATGCTAATATTGGAAATAATTACCCGATGCAATTTTGTTAAATTGGGCCCTATAATCAATTTTGTATAAGTAAGGGCCTATTCACATTTACTTAATTTCAGTTCAGTTCAGTTCAATTCAGTTCAGTTCAGCTCTAATCAGTTCAGTTCAGTTCAGTTCAGCTCCAATCAGTTCAGTTCAGTTCAGTTCAGCTCCAATCAGTTCAGTTCAGTTTAGCTCCAATCAGTTCAGTTCAGTTCAGTTCAGCTCCAATCAGTTCAGTTCAGTTCAACTCTTAATTTTCCTCTCTCATAAAATATTCATTTCATCTCAATTCAGTTCAGTTCAGCTCCAATCAGTTCAGTTCAGTTCAATTCAGCTCCAATCAGTTCAGTTCAGTTCAGTTCAGTTCAGTAAATGTGAACATGCTCTAAATTTCAAAAACCGAGACCTATCCTTGTATAGTAGATTTACTTAGGACCCCTTTACGATCGAGCAGACCACCCTACACATGCTCAAAACCACCCCTGCTATCCATGAAACTAACCTTGCGATGGACAAACTTAACTCTTTTTGTTTTTTGCTTTTATACTGAGCTCCCTCCTCTTCATTTATTTTTACTTGAGCTCATTTGCCTTTTTATTGCATACTTTACAATTAAAGAAATATAATATTAGATCTTCAATTACTTGTTAAAAATTATAAAATTTGATGGATGCATATTGAGACAAATCTAACATGACTCTACCTAAATCCATACTACTAATACAAGTTTTTATTTATTTATTTATTTTTTTAAAAAAAAAAATCAGAGATTCTTTTTAGTTAAGTTTCTCTAATCTCTTCTAAAATTAGAAATTTTTACGAAACAAACAAAAAGAAATGAAGAGGTCGAGTAAGTACACATCATATAAATAACATAATAAGAGAGAGTTGGAGCTTGCTTAATCAGTAATGTAGTTGTAACTTGAAGAATTAATCAAACATGAGTTGTATATATCAAAGCATATATATATAGTACTGCAGGGTAGACTGAATTATTACGAAATACTAGTATATTATAAGGTTAAAATATATTAGGGACATTATTATAAGTTGACTTAATTAATTAGGTGGTTTTGAGTGCTCATGCATCAAGGCTAATGATCCTGGTTAGGAAATAGGAAGCAACCATTATAGAATCCCATGTTTCATCATTATAAAGTGCCATCTACTCGTGCCACAAACACACACCATGATTTGTGACGCACCATGCATGTCAATTTCTAAATCCAGACACTTTATTTTTTTTGTCTTTAATTATAAGTTGTGTTTAATTAGTTTATAATTAGAGGAAATGTATCTTGAGACTTGAGGTGAAATTCATTTGCATCCAAATTATTGTCAAATGTATATTTCGGTGTTTGGGTCATTAGCAAATACTTCCTCCGTTCTTTCATGATTGAAACGTGTCATGGATGCAAAAATATTTTACATTATTATGTAATAATTTGAGAGAGACCTAAGGGAGAAATAGAAAATTATATTCGTATGATGGGAAGAGAGATAGAGATAATAATATGTGAACAAGAAAATGTCAATAAAGATACGAAATATGAGCTTTTCACAAAGAAGACGTTGTGATATATTTTAAAAACGTGAGATATGTATATACGAACAGAGATGAAATTTAGTGGACATACTATTAGAGATATTCTAGGATATTATTGTGATATAATTTAGGAAACATATCTTATGCAAAAGATATGGTAGAATATTGGGTTTGTTAGTTAACCTAGTAGTATATATATTTGTATTGGCCGTGAATATCAATGAGAAGAATACAGAGTATATTTACATAATTTTCTCTGATTTAACATGGTATCAGAGCCTTGTAAAGGTCTAAATTTTTTTTAATTGTGTTCAATTTTCATAATTGACACACGATTGTTTCTGGGTGTGTGCATCTGTTGCTTTGCCAAATTATTTTTTTTCCATTGCGTTGTTAAGAAGTTGTGAGCGATGACTGGTGGTGAAGGCTCAGGTGGCGATGGAGGCAAAAGTGGTGATGGAGGCAAAGCTAAGGTGGACATGACTTATTACCTAGGTTCAAGTGATGGACCTGGAAACATAATTACTCCGGTTCAACTTCGGGGTGAGAATATGATGAGTGGGCGAGGGCAATTAGAACCTCGTTGAAGGCCAAACGCAAGTACGGGTTTATTGATGGATCCGTCAAGAAACCGACGAATGCTGACAAACTAGATGATTGGGTGGATGTTCATGCGATGTTGGTGGCTTGGATTACAAATACCTTGGACTCATCGGTGAGAGCTACGATTGGTGAGTATGAAGATGCGCAATTATTGTGGACGAACCTTAAAAATCGTTTCTGCGTTGTTAGTGGGACTCGCATATGCCAACTCAAATTGTCTCTGGGTGAGTGCAAACAAACTGCATCCGAGAGTATTGCGGCATATTTTGGCAGAATTACAAAGATTTTTGATGAATTGCATACTTACATTACCGTGCCTCATTGTTCTTGTGGTGCGTGTACATGTAATATCGTGGCACAGGTCGAACGGTTGCGTCAGGAGGATTTAATTCACCACTTCTTGATTGGTCTCGACGATGCATATGCTTCTCTTAGGGGCCAACTTCTATCCCAAGATCCCCTGCCTTCGGTGGATAAAGCATACCAGCAACTAGTCCAGGCAGAACGCCTCCGTGGTGGCAGTGGTGATTCGGCAGTGGCTCGTGAAAACCCAATGGCCTTCAAGCTGCAACATGAACCTGCCTCCAAGCCGCAACGATCAAGTGATAATTCGGAGAAATTTTGCAATCACTGTAATCGGGTTGGGCATGATAAGACAGGATGCTTTCAAATTCATGGTTATCCCTCATGGTGGGGCAATCGTGGGCGTGGAGGTCGAGGAAGGGGTCGAGGAGATTCCGGAGGGAGCAATAGTGGTGGACGCGGGGGTGGGCGTGGCAGTGGGCCTGCTGCCCCTGTGCGTGCTAACAAAGCAGCAACACAATCCACCGTGCAGCCGGGTGGTGCTACGACAGATGATGGGGCTGCGCTTGCGGGGGTCACACCGACTCAATTACAGCAGCTCTTAGATCATCTTTCCTCTATGAAACCTAAGCTTCATGGTAAGGATCAAATAGGTTGGATTGTTGACACCGGCGCATCCAATCATATGACTTGTGATTTGTCCCTTTTGAAGAATGTTTGTAATGTACAACAATGTCCGGTAAGATTGCTGGATGGGAAAAGTGCTAATGCATCTAAAATTGGCTCCGTGATTTTGCAAGGGGGTTTGACGATCAATAATGTTCTTTATGTGCCTCAATTAAATTGCAACTTAATTTCTGCAACACAATTATGTGATGAATCTAATTGCACTCTGCAATTTACTAACAAACTTTGTGTTATACAGGACCTAATGACGAGGAAGGTGATTGGAGCGGGTGAACGAGTGGATGGACTATATTATTTCCGAGGTGTTCCAAAAGTGAAGGCTTTGAAGCTAGAAAATGGTCGAACGACAGAATTGTGGCATCAACGTTTGGGGCATCCTTCGGGAAAGGTTCTACAAAACATCTCCCTTTTATGAGTAGTTCTAAGAGTCTTAAGAACAAATCATGTGATGTATGCCCTAGGGCAAAACAACATAGAAGTAATTTTCCTATTAGCATAAATAGAGCGAGTCGTTCCTTTGAACTTGTTCATGTTAATTTATGGGGACCATACAAGACTCCATCATCTTGTGGTTCACATTATTTTTTAACAATTGTTGATGATTTTTCAAGAGGAGTGTGGACGTATTTATTGCGTAATAAAACTGAGGTTGAATTGATGTTTCTGAATTTCGTTGCTTTGATTAGACGTCAATTTCAACTTGAGATTAACATTGTTCGTAGTGATAATGGAACGGAATTTAATTCCTTAAAACCATATTTTATGGATAATGGGATCATATTTGAAACTTTTTGAGTGGGGACGCCTCAACAAAATGGTCGGGTTGAGAGTAAACATCAACATATTCTTAATGTGGCTCGGGCTTTGAGATTTCAAGCAAATTTACCTATACAGTTTTGGGGGGAGTGTGTGCAAGCGGCCTGTCACTTGATAAAAACCGTACTCCATCTAGACTACTTGATTTTAAGACTCCGTATGAGATTTTGTTTGATAAACAACCATCGTATGAGTATATTAAAGTTTTTGGGTGTTTGTGTTATGCTCATAATCAGCGTAGCAAAGGAGACAAGTTTGCTAGTAGGAGTTGCAAATGTGTGTTTTTGGGGTATCCTTTTGGTAAAAAGGGGTGGAGATTGTTTGACTTGGAGACGAAAGAGATTTTTATTTCCCGAGATGTACAATTTTTTGAACATGAATTTCCTTTTATTATGTCCTCTGTTTATGGAATTCCAAGTGTTCCAAGTGTGCATTGTGATGATATGTGTGTAAGTGATGATGACATGGGTAGTATGGGTGATGAGGGAGATGGGGGCCGTGAGATTATTGAAGATGACGCCGCATTTATTGATGAGGGTGCTGCAATTCACACCGAGGCAGAATACTCCGCGGGCATGTCGCGGCATGACCCTCCCAGCCACAACCAAGCTGCGGCAGGGACTGCCAGCAGCGCTGCAGAGCGTGCTGGGTCAACTGTGCGCGCTGGCAGGGGGGAGCAGCTAGCTCTCGATCAGCCACAACACGAAGACAGTAGCTCCGCCCCCTCACACTCCGAGCAGCAGCACCATGCTCAGCCCCACGTTGATAGTTTTGAGCAAAGTGAAGTTTCTTCTGAAATGGCAAAAGGCAAACGAGTGAAGTTTCCTTCGGTCATGTTCAAGGATTTTGTGACTCATACCATTCGGAATAATAGTCCACTCACATCAAATCGTTCATCTGCGACAATTTCCTCAGGTACTGTTTATCCAATAACACATTTTGTTGATTTTCATCGTTTTTCTGCAAAACATAGAACCTATATTGCAGCAATTACAGGTGGAAATTTGCCGAAAAATTTCAAAGAGGCTATGCGGCATGAGGGATGGCAGAAATCCATGGCCGATGAGATTCACGCTCTAGAGGAACAAGGCACAATGGGAGCTAGTAGACCTACCTCGAGGTAAGAAGGCACTTGGGAGCAAATGGGTTTACAAAGAAAAATACAATGAGCATAGGACTCTTCAACGATTGAAGGCTAGACTAGTAATATTCGGCAATCATCAAGTTGAAGGTCTAGATTATAATGAGACATTTGCTCCGGTGGCAAAGATGGTGACGGTTCGTACTTTTCTTGCAGTTGCGGCAGTGAAGAATTGGGAAGTACATCAGATGGACGTTCACAACGCCTTCTTACATGGTGACTTGGAGGAAGAGGTATTCATGAAAATTCCCCCTGGTTTTGAAAAAAGTAATTCTGGTAAAGTGTGCAGGATGAAGAAGTCATTGTTTGGGTTGAAGCAGGCTCCTCGTTGTTGGTTTGCAAAATTAACAACGGCTTTGAAAAATTATGGCTTTAAACAGTTATATTATGATTATTCCCTTTTTACTCTGACGAGAGGAAAAATGCAGCTGAATGTACTTGTGTATGTTGATGATTTAATAGTTGCGGGAAATGATAAGTCTGCATTGTTGCAATTTAAATCATATTTAGGGAATTGTTTCAAAATGAAGGACTTGGGAATTCTGAAATATTTTTTGGGGCTAGAGATAGCCCGAAGCAAACAGGGGATTTTCATGTGTCAGAGAAAGCATGCAATGGATATCATTACTGAAGCAGGGTTACTTGATGCAAAACCTGCAGACTTTCCCATGGAGCAAAACCACAGGCTAGCTCTAGCAGATGGGGAATTTTTTGGTGATGTGGAGCGGTATCGACGTCTCATAGGGCGTTTGATTTATTTAGCTGTCACTAGGCCTGACTTGGCTTATTCTGTGCATATCTTATCTCAATTTATGCAGAGCCCGGGGGTAGAGCACTGGGAGGCTGCCCTGCGAGTTGTGCGATATCTGAAGAAGAGTCCAGGTCAGGGAATTCTGCTGAGGTCTGATAGTGCTCTACAGTTGGAAGGATGGTGTGATTCGGATTGGGCCAGTTGTCCATTGTCCAGGTGCTCATTGACAGGTTGGTTTGTGTTTCTCGGTTTATCTCCCGTCTCTTGGAAAACCAAGAAACAACCTACGGTAGCTATGAGCTCTGCCGAAGCAGAGTATAGGTCTATGTCCGCTTGCACTCGTGAATTGAAGTGGCTAAAGCGGATTCTGCGAGATTTAGGTGTGCGACATGAGAGTGGCATGCACCTCTATTTTGACAGTCAGTCGGCACTATACATTGCGAAGAATCCGGTGTTTCATGAGCGAACGAAACATATCGAAGCAGATTGTCATTTTGTACGGGATGCAATTACGGAAGGTCTCATAACACCGTCCTATTTCACAAAGGCCTTAGGAAAGGTCAAGTTTGAATTTTTACTCCGCAAGTCGGGCATCTATGACCCGTATGCTCCAACTTGAGGGGGGTATTAGAGATATTCTAGATATTCTAGGATATTATTGTGATATAATTTAGGAAACATATCTTATGCAAAAGATATGGTAGAATATTGGGTTTGTTAGTTAACCTAGTAGTATATATATTTGTATTGGCCGTGAATATCAAAAGAAGAATACAGAGTATATTTACATAATTTCCTCTGATTTAACACATACATTACATACTAGGCAAGGAAAAAAAATGTGACATCATGAAAAGAATAATTTAATTTCATTCAATAATATATATTTTCATTCACTCGTATAACAAATTAGCAAAACCAACCTTAAAATTTTTAAAAAAAAAAAATACTTTACCTAAAGTGGTTAGAGACACAATAAGAACAGTGGACATGCATGTCACATAATCACCCCACACCTTTTTTCACCACAAAAAAAAAAAAAAAAAAAAAAAAAAAAATCACCCCACACCTTTCTACAACTAGTAATAAGTCCATAACAATTTAAGTTAAAAAAACTTATACTAGTAGTAAAATCTTTCTACTAATAACGTATGTACTGAAATTCATCAATACATACTACTAAGAGCCCACAGCAAGGTTTCATCCTAAAACCAATTTAAAAACCCTTTACTTTTTTTCAATGTGGGACAAATACTACTCACATTTGCACCTCACAATATTGTCATAAATAATGCCTAAATTTAACCCAGTTTCAATTTCAATTTCAAAAATTTATTAAATGTTTATCATCCCTTAGAATTTCATATATAGTCATATATATATATATATATATATATATATATATATATATATATATATATATATATATATATATATATATATATATATATATATATATATATATATATGTGTGTGTGTGTGTGTGTGTGTGTATAAGGCTTTAAATAAATATATTATTAGTGCAACTAACACAAAAATGATAACTACTTATAGATTATGACTAAGTATGTACTATACCGTCTTAATTATCTAGTACGGTCCATGCAATATATAGTTCAAACCTACATAATCTTGGCTGCCGGTGATATATGAGTGGTTAAAAATAGTCACCAACCCAATCGAATGAATATAATGAACCTTCCTTCCTATCGCATAAAAGAATTAACCTCCTAACTTTCTAGCAATTAATATGAATGATTAATTCTTATAATTATCCTTAATATATGCTTACGTCTTCGTTATAAGACCAAATTAGTCAATCCTAACATTAACTATTTACCACGCTTGATTACCAAGTCCTCCCTAAAACTGTGGCATGCAGGACACTCTTCGTACAATTGTTGTGTTCACACTTCTTAACTCAATTTTCTATTGATAATACCCACAAAATTGCCACCTAATACGGATTATGTTTTATTAATTAAGATCTTAATTAAATAATTTATGAACATTTGATGTTAATTATTGTTTTGAGGAGAAAATTTGATTTGGAACGGTAGATTAACTCATGATTAGGGAATAAATGTATGCGTGGTATGTGTTTCATATGCCTTTCGGCTCTAAGGATAATAATACGTAAACGAAAGCATATTAATTAAATCGATATGTTCATATGTTTAATGTTATTAAGATTGAAGTACAAAAAATGTTTACAAGCTAAGCTTAATAATGAATCGTGATTTTCGCAACAAACTAAATTCTAAGATTAACTCCAATTAGGGATTGGAATTATGTACAAGGCTTAATTAGGACCATCAATTAAAGATTATAAAACCCTAAACTATAGATCTTGACTTTAGAAAGGAGATCTTATTAATGCACTGTAATTTGTTCGTAACCTAAACTAAAAGTCCAAAAAGTAGATATGCCCTTATTACATTAAAAGCCGCATGATTTATATTCAACTTCTTCTAGATGTCTCACCGCGGTATAGTTACTTGTAAAATTTGCTCAAAGAATGTGTCAAAAAAGACTTAATTATATCTTAAAACGTTTATCAATTCGATCTAATTTTTCAATAATCATAGCGAATTATATATTATAAAATCTTGGATAAACACGACCACATAGAATTACACATTCTATTAGTAAAAAAACACGAGTGTACGTAAGAATTTGTACAAACATTAGAGAAAACTCGTTATAAAACAAATAACACATAATAAACAAATTAAGCGATAAAAATAAAATAAAATAATCCAAATTGAGTAATTCAAAAATAGAAACACATGAATTGATTCACCATAAACCTTTGTCAAAATGTTAGCTGATCAGTTTCCAGAAGAACAGTAAATAAAGTGGACTAAAAATAGGAGCTTCTTCCTCAAGAATGTTTTCTTCCTATTAACACCCAAACTTGCTACCTCTTTTAAGGCATGTATGTATATATATATTTAAGGAGATTTACCCTTAACTTTATTTTCTCCTTCTAATTAATTTTATTTCTTCTACTCCTCAAAAATATAATTGTACATTAGCTAGCTAAACTCGGGGTTGAATATTCGATATCGATATAATCTAATGGAGGAGAATCTTCCTCCAGGGTTTCGGTTTCATCCAACGGACGAGGAGCTCATTACATTTTATTTATCAAAGAAAGTTTCTGATTGTAGTTTTAATTCCAAGGCTATTGCTGATGTTGATCTTAACAAGTGCGAACCTTGGGATCTTCCAGGTATAATTTTATAGATTGGATAATTATAATGCCCTAATTTTGCATTGTAAATATTTAGTAGTTTAGCCAATTTATGATTTTGTTACAAATTTCTTAATTAATCATATTTTCGAATGTAGGGGGTTGGTTGTCACATTAGTAGCTCAAATTTTTATTTCTAATTTTTTGAATCAGTGATCTCAACGTGGATTAAAGGTCACGTCAGTAAATTACTTAATTATATTATCAAAAATTCAAAACTACGACTTCCTGGAAAAAAAGTGCTCAAAGCTACAACTAATTCTAGACAAAAAGAATTCAAATAAGTAATACTTGAATTAAAATATTAAATAACTTGAATTTTTAAAGACATAATAATAATGTAACATAAATTAAATAACAACAAAATCTCGATAATATTTTCTTAAGTTTTTGAATAAATGAACATTATGGTTGTCTTTTAGGAGCCACGACAAATAAAAAAATAATAATATATATACACGTAATATGAGCGTGAAAAGAAAAATAAACAACTCTAGCATATATTTTCCGATATTGATGATATCATATCTCTAACACATCAACATCATTGAAAAAAATAAAATATACTCATAGCTTACTTATATAATAGAGATCGATAAATGAATAACCTTAGAAACTTGTGATGATCGGAGAGTGTTGCAATCAAGGGCGATCGATCGATCGACAGCCTGCGCACGTACCGAAGCAAAAGACATCAGCAAATGGAGGTTGTTGCACAATCCGCGGCGAACAGCCGGAAAAGGAGTTGGAAGAGAAAAGGATGGCGTATTGGCGGAGAACGAGCGAGTTCAACGACGGTGGTTGGGACTTGATGAGTAAGTTTAGAGGTAGATCGAAGAGAAAAGAGGAGTTGGGAATTAGAGTTACTAGTTTTGACTTTTTTTTATGGGTGATGAATGTGAGGCCTAGCACGTGACAAAAGTCCATTTATATGATTTTGACTTACCTTTGTCAATGTCTTAATCATCGATGTAAATGTGATGACTACTTAAAAGAAGCTATGAAACGAAAGATTATGAACAACTAATCAATGATTGCTTCAATTGATTCGTGATTCTGACATAAATTCAATTCTCAAACATATACTGTATATACTCCCTCAATTTACTCCTTATTGTTTGGAAGGAATACCATTTTATGAAATTCATTTAATTCTTAAGGCTTCACATATCATTACATATTTACAAAGTATCCGATAATAAGGTACTCAAATAGTCTAATTCGAAAAATATTTAGGTTTTGCTTGTATTATATTGGGATTTTTTTTCATTAATTTGATATACTAATAAAGAGTTGAATTTACAACCTAAACCATAGGTCTAATGCAATTCAAGTTGTATTTACATACCTATAGATGTTTTAAAAATAGAGTTAAATGTATGTTATTCTTGTGTTGTTATCTCTATGTCAAAACATTAGAATTCTATGTCGGTTTAGCCCGTGTTATCAAATTTAACTACTCGTAGATTTTTTTTTTTTTAGTACGTACCTACATACAAAAAAGTAGTGAAACTATAACTCTCCATGAATAATTAATGTGCAGGAAAAGCATCAATGGGAGAAAAAGAATGGTATTTTTTCAGCCTAAGAGATCGAAAATACCCAACAGGTTTAAGGACAAATCGAGCAACAGAAGCAGGTTATTGGAAAACCACAGGGAAGGACAAAGAGATATATAGAGGAGGGGGGTTAATTGGGATGAAGAAGACTCTTGTATTTTACCGTGGAAGAGCACCTAAGGGAGAGAAAACTAATTGGGTTATGCATGAATATCGTCTCGATAATAAGCTTTCTTTCAAACCCTCCAAGGTACTTACATACTTTTGTCCCTTTAAAATTGTACATTCTCTATCCGAATCATTTACGTACTAATTTCGATCTACTCTTTATCTTGTATCATATTGTTTTGGATGATTCTACGGTAGTCATCTTTAAAATGACTAATACTATAAATTAATTAATATTTTTTAAAATGTTATTTTACAATGTTAAAATTAATTATAAATTATTTATCTAAATTTTAAATTCATTTATTAATTTTGATAAATTTTTGAATTTTTTTTTTATATTATTCATAATTAATTTTCCAAATTTAGTTTTATTATTACTGAAATTAAAAATAATTCATAAATTGGTTATGAAAATATATAAAAATGTAAAAGAAAATACAAATAAATTTTAAAAATAAGGAAAAAATTTATAATTAATTTTAACATAAAAAAATAAAATAAAACATCAATAAATAAATAAACAAAAATAGTATAATGATAGTTATTTTAAGGATTGACTACCATAGAATTTTCATTGTGTATGAGTCATTCATATGACCCTTAGATAATGATCAAATTATAGCTAGAGGTGATACCTTATAATAATTGATATTTTAAAAAATATGATATTATTGTGACATAATTTTACTTATATGATGTAATACATTTGTTTTAATATTACACTTCAATAATCAATTTTCATTTACATGACACATTTATATCATAATTTTATTTGTAATACTCTTTTTCATTTGCATGACACATCATATCATAGTCCACATTATTATTTATTGCAATTTCTAAAGTTGAGATTATTTACTACCTGGAATTATTTTTTGCTAATTTTCCTATATATTTTTTTTCATAAGATCAATTGTTACATGTCCGCAGGATGAATGGGTGGTATGTAGGGTTTTCCAGAAGAGTGTAGCGATAAAAAAACCACAACCCACATCACCTTCTATGGTCTCACCAGACTCACCAGATGACACCAACACAACTACAAATGAATTTGGAGACATTGAACTACCAAATCTAAACACCCTATCAACTTCACCAAATAACCCTACATTTTCATACCCTTCACTACAAGATTACCCTAATTGCACCCCTAATCATCTCAATTTAAACCCGAACACGAATTTAAACTTAAATTGGGCACGAGAAATGGCCACAACACTCCCTTCACTATCATCATGGCCATCTACCTTGCTTACTCCTAACCTAAATAGTACTGTAAATTCCTTGTTGCTTAAGGCTCTACAATTTCGAAACACGAGTAGTAGTGCTACTGACTACTCGTCGTTCCTAGGCAACCAGCAAGGGTTGCCTCTAGGAACGACTAGTGAACTATGCTCGACTTTCCATCCTTCGCCGTCTGCTGAGACGGTGTTCCAGTCTTTACAACAACAGCAACAAAATCAACAAAACCAACAGCAACTCCAACAGGAACAACCATTCAACTTGGACTCCATGTGGTGATGCATGCAATCATGTACGTACAATATAATACATGAACATATATTTATATATATGAAATTGAAGCTAACAATTTATGTGACTAGTTCGATCTCCTGCTTGTTGATAATTGAGTTGCATGGAAGAGAAATAATTATCTAAATTCAGATGATGATGATGTAACTTGTTAAAAGTGTAATTATTGTGGGCAAAGCCCAATTATCTATCGAGATTATTATTATTGTTATTGTTTATTATTATAGGGTTTTGTTGTTCATAACCCTTAGATTTATATATAAGTAATATATGTTTCCGTTTTTCAAAGTGGGATTACGTAGTTAAAAATTTACAATAAAATCCGTGTTCGTTAGTTGATATAGATTTAAATCAATGTGTAGTAACGGTCTGTTCACTGTTTTGATTGACTGAACTGAACTTATTGGAACTTAACTAAACTGAATATTTCATGAGTGAAGGAAATTAAAAACTAAACTGAACTGAAAATAATCTGAAGAGATCAAACCCTTATTCAAATTTCAATTATTATTACCTTATTCTTCCTTGCCAATCTCCTCCACCAACAAACATCACATACGATATGCAGGGAAAAGGAATTTTTGTTCTAGGTTTTAAGTGATGCAAAAGTAAAGAAATTAGTTCACCCTTCAGGTTATGTGATAACGTAACAAACTTGGTACTGATCTACTTATTAGTATGGGAGTATTTTCTTCTTCTTTTTTTTTTTTTTTTTTTTGGTAGAATATTCTTTATTATTGTAACTAATAAGATATATTGGAAAACCATACTTATTACATATTGATTATTGGTCTTAAAATATTATACATTGATCAACATCTTAAAACTTAAAATGACAGATAATGCATTGCTATCGTAAGTGGCAAATAATACTCGTATGAACGAACTACTTTAATCAATTAGTGGTCGAAAAATATAAATGAAAGAAATACATGTTGTAGGTGTATATACCAACCAAGTATTACTGCGGATTGAGGGATTTATGTTCATAAATATGATTCGATGAAATCTTTTTGTGCCTTTGCGCCACCATTTATTGGCCATGCAATCAGGTCAATTTGATTTTATACCAGCTTTTTTTGACTAATTAGTTTGGATATTAATCCACTTTAGTTGGTTCATCATTTGGCTTGACATGTGCACCAAAAAAAAAAAAAAAAAAAAAACAATTGGCTTGACATTTTAATTAAGATTAATTAGTCGGTGTTAGACTAAACAATTAAAAATCCAACATTACAATATTTGAAGTCTTTATTCTTGTGTGATAGTTAAAAGGCATATACTACGTATATAAACTAAAACTATCACATAAGAATAAAGAAGTACTTTCCGTAAAAAAAATAAAAATAAAGACGTACTTTAAAAAATCCAACCTTTTCCAGTCTTAGCTAGTTTCAAGCATTGATACTCCTTGACTAAAATACTCCATATAAAGTATTTGAATTTCAATTTCTAACTGAAAAAAAAGAAAAAAAGAAAAAAAGAAAAAGAAAAAGAGATCACTAGATTGATTATATTGGAGAGTATTCGTATCATGTGTCACTCATTGTCTTGTATAATTAAGGCACCAAATGACAATGTTATTTTTTTTTTTTTTTTTGACGGGAATGACAATGTTATTCAATTTGTAGATATTTAGATATTTGAATTCATAGATAGATTAAGGCACGAACGGTCTTGCGAGAAGACGTTCCTGATCTAGGGTCTGTTCTCATTGACTGAATTCGACTGAACTGAACTGAATATTGTATAAGAGAAGGAAATTAGGAGCTGAGCTGAACTGAACTGAACTGAACTGAATTGAATTGAGCTGAACTGAACTGAATTTCAACATAAGAGAACAGGCCCCTAGTTTATATGTCTTACTTTAAAAAAAATTACGTAGGGCCTGTTCACATTTACTTAATTTCAGTTCAGTTCAGCTCCAATCAGTTCAGTTCAGTTTAGTTCAGCTCCAATCAATTCAGTTCAGTTCAACTCTTGATTTCTCTCCCTCATAAAATATTCATTTCAACTCAATTCAGTTCAGTTCAGTTCAGTTCAGTTCCAATCAGTTCAGTTCAGCTCAGTTCAGTTTAGCTCATTTCAGTAAATGTGAACAGGCCCGTAGTATGGTAATAAATAATAACTTTCAAATATCTATACAAATTGGGTATGGACTGGATTTATTTGGATAATTTCTTCACCTTAGTTTTAGTTTGCTGAATTGAAATTATTTTTAATGAATTAAACTTAATCTTACTAGATATTACGAGTATTGATTTTTACAGAACTAATTTTTTTTTCTTTTTTCAATGAAGAGTACAATTAATAATTGTACCAATTTTTTAGATGTTTTAATTGTTTCTTATCACCAACATTTAATAACTCTGAGGTCTGATGAGCACCAATAAATTTACAATTAACTCCAATCCCTATATCCCAAATGATTGTCCTCTTTTCTAAATTGCTTTATTGTCATGTTTAATTATTCTCTTCATTTATTAAATGTATACTTAATTATTCCATCCTTTAACACTATACATACAAACATACATATGTTCGAGTCCCTAACATTAACTACACATTTTATTAGTCGTGAAAAGCTAATCATTTCATGGTTGTGACATTGTTGTTAATAGTGGCTTTTGCATATTTAATAAACTTGCAAAATTACCAATTAGTTATTGGTGTAGTGGTGATTGGGACTATACTTGGTAGGGAGGACTCGTGTTTGATCCCCCGCAACAACAATTGGGAAGGGACTGGAACCTAACCACCCAGAACTGATCCTCGAATTCGGATTAGCCCAAAGGGTGAACCGGGTAGAACACAAAAAAAAAAAAAAAAAAAAAAAAAAAAAAAAAAAAAACTTGCAAAATTAAAAAACAGGCATATATAATTAGAATACATAATGACACTTCAGATATTTAATTAACTGGATATCAAACTTCTGGTAAGTTGAATTACGGAGCATGTTAGTTAGAAATTTTCAAATCATTTTGTAAAATTAAACGTGGGTTGAGAGTATATCAATCGATTATAATAAGTAGACATTAAAATAGAGGGAGAAATGCTATATTTAAAAAGCAGAGCATTAATATTAGCTGACAAAAATAAAAAAGCATTAAATAATGTACATAAATTTTTAAGCTACTTTGTCTAGTATACATTTTGAATTATAAAAATTCCCTTCATGTAAAAACAAAGGTTATTCATAGTTTATTTATATTTAATAAATAAAAATGGTTGAATTAATGAACAAATGGTCCCATATATCAATTCTTATAACAACCAAATAACCCTACATGTCAATGAATTTATGCCACTACTCTTTCAATTTGTATATAATTTAACACCAAACATGGAAGTGCTAGCTTAAATAATGTTTTATTATTAGTGAAAAGAGGAATTTTCTTAATATCCTTTACAAAGTTAATGGAACGAACTATAATCATTTTGACCAAATAATTAACACCATAATATAATATGAATTAATAAATTAAAGAACTCAAAACATGTATAAACATGAATAAAACTTGCAGTTTTTATGGATTGTGCCAAAGTGACAAACATAGAGATGCATACTTTACTAATCGTTTTTAATTAGCCATTGTGGCTTAGAGCAACCATGTTAATTTACCACTAATAAAGGACCCACTACTAAAGGGTATTTGCGTGAAGTGTGAACTCTAAAAGAACACACAAGGTGTGTAAAGAGACCAAAAGTTGTTTCAAAATGGCTTTTTTACTTTTTTACCTTTTTTTTTATATTTTAAAACATGCATTTAATGGTTTTATTTTACATTTTTTTCTATTTCCTTTACTTCTTTATATCTTGCCTAAAAAAATTAAAAAAAAAATGGATATAAAATGATTTAGCCGACAAATAGGTTGTTTGGATCAAGTTCGATTATAACTTATTTTTAATTTTGGCTGAATTTAGGTGATGATTGTTAAATAAGTGAAATTGGGTTGATCATTTGAGCATTTAGGTGAAGAATTTTCCTTCCTCTATTAAATTTGCACCTTTTATCTAACATGCATGCAGTATAATATATAGGTCAACGTTTAAGAACATATATAGAGGATAAGGAGATCTCGAATCCGGAATCCCTTCTAAGGATCTGTTCTCTTCAACTTAATTTTAGTTCAATTCAGTTTAGCTCCAATCAGTTCTATTCAGTTCAGTTAAGATAGATATAGGTATATTAAATTCTGATAAGAGTTATCTAAGTTTAAATTACAACTAAAGATTCAATTTAATTAAGTTCAAATAAGTATAAATCAAATGAATAGAAAACACTCTTATACGGAATAATTTAGAATGGATTGACCGATATTGGAAATACTAAGGGCCTGTTCTGATTGACTGGACTCAGTTGAACTGAACTGAACTGAACTTATTAATTAGTAATTTTTAACTACGGATTAGTGATCTTTGATTATTTATTGATTATTTATTACTATACATATGTGTATATACAAATGTACATATTAAAATATTTACGAAAAATATACTATATAATTATAAAATTTATGGAAAATATATTAAAAACTTGAAACCTCTAAACATTTTAAACACATATACTATTTAATTTAAAAATAAAATAGTATTATGACAAAAGAACACAAAACACTTACATGTATCTAACCCATTTAAACAAATTTTTAAAAAAATATTTAAAAAAAAAAAACACGAAAAGCTAACAGAGGCAACGGCCCAACAGTCCAACACCCTAACCCACTCTCTTTAATGTTTTAATTAATACATGTATCTAACTAGTATCTAACCCCAAATTATTATTATTATTATTATTATTAGTGTTATTATTGTTATTATTATTATTATTTATTGATTATTATTATTATTATTATTATTTATTACTTATTGATTATTATTATTATTATTGTTGTTAATATTGTTATTATTATTATTGTTGTTGTTGTCGTTGTAATAAGAGCTTAAAAGAAGGAAATTTGACTTTATATCATTAGCAATATCATTAGACATAGATTAAGAGCTGAACTGAACTGAACTGAATTTCAACGGAAGAGAACAGCCCCTAAGAGTATTCAGATTTACCTAGCTAAAATGAACTTAACCGTTTATAAGAGAAGCTAATTAGGAACTGAGCTGAACTAAAATTAATCTGAAATAAAGAGATCCTAACTCCGTATAAAATACTCCGTACTAGGAGTAACAAGAGACGGTTAAAAATGTGGATGGAGTATTATTTTTTTTCCTCCCATCGTCTTTGACTTTTTTCGTGTCTACTTTCTGTTCTTTTTCCAGTTTCCACACATTATCTCACGAGCACTTTGTCTTTCTGACAACTCGGAATTGAACTGCAAAACGTAAAGACTGGTTATATTGCATAGTACAATATTCCAATATTATTATACTCCATATTATATGGTTCGACAATTTCATAAATAAATAAAAAAAAGATCCAAAGTTTCCACACTAAAACTAGATTGTCAAACATTATTTTGTTCTAACCCAACAATCCAATAATCTAAACCAATCTAACGCGCCTTTTTCTTTGTATTCTTCATTGGATAAGAATTCATGGTTTCATGAGGGTCCCTTTGGTTTTAATGTTTCACCTACAATATTATGTATTTCAAATTTTTTTAAGTTGAAGTTTAATTTACAAATTGTTATTTTTTTTTTTGGCGCAAAAACATACTAAAATAAATTGAAAGTTGTTTACCAACCAATGAACACTAAGGTAGTTTATATATTTCAAACCGAGCATTTATTTACTAGAAATTGACATCATTTTTCAAATTGTGAATTTTAATATTTGAAAGTTGTGACTTTTTCTTGCATTATTTTGTAATGACAATTCTTGTATTTACAATTTTGAAATTGGAACCACATATAGCTTCTTCTACAAGTTCCATTTCAAAGTTAAAGAATATGCTTTTAGAGTTCTAGGACTAAATTTATGTATATTACTTGTTACTTTGTTAGTTTGATTAATTTTATTTCGTAGGGAATGAAAGTAATGATCTTGGATGTATTTGACACTAGTTTTTGAGTAGCTTATAGTGATTTGAGGTCAAGTTAATCCACTAATGTAGTGGTTGAATTATCAAAAAAATTAAAAGTAGTTGTTAATAATTTATTTTTTTTAGACCAGTAGTAGTTGATAATTTACTATATACTTTTAGGAAAAAATATATTGTTTAAAGAGCAATGATATATGTAGCCTTTAGGGTTGCATATAAGCATTAAATACACTCTTGAAAATTGTATAAAATTAATAATTCGTGATAAAAACACGCGTAAATCAGTGTAATTAGTATATCTCAGTCATGATTTCCTAAATTAAACAATTTTTTAGAGTATATTTAACACTTATATATATAGCCCTTTTAGCTTTTTTTAATTTAGCTGCGGGTTAATAGCTATTTGCTAAACGCTAAGAGTACTACTTTAAGTCTTTAACTATCAATCTTCAATATAATAGCTGACACTTATTTACACAACTAATAATTACCATCACATCTAACAACTATCTCCACAACTATATTTTATTGAACACTCGTACTTTAATTTCTAAGTTAAATTATTGACATATTCAAATTGTTTATTAATAAAATGTAAACTTAGGGTATGTTCTGGTTTACTGAACTGAATTGAATTGATTGGAGCTGAAATGCACTGAACTGAACTGAGTTGTTTATGAGAGAAGGAAATTAGGAATTGAACTGAACTGCACTGAACTGAACTGAACTAAAGATAACATGCCTTAAGGCCCGCTTATCTTCACTTTAAAATAACAATATCTAGTAAAAATAATTTTTAAACAGTAAAAATCATTAACTTAAAAAAAATAATAGAAAATTAGTAAAATAAGTTTTCATTAGTAAAAATAATTTCAAATATGTAAAAAAATTATGTAAAACTAATTTAAGTTCAACAAAAATAATTTCAGCACAATAAAAATAATTCACTAAATAAAGTGTATTAAAAAAAAAGTATAATACCAACTTATTTATTTACTTTTCCATTTTTTAATTTTCTTAAAATTCACATAAACTTAGTCAATGTCATTAAGACCTAACTTTCAACATTATTCTACTTTAAAAAACAAAAGAAAAAAAAAACCTAACTTTCAACTTCATTTTACTTCTAGTGTTCTACATAAAGATCTTCTTTGTTCTTAAGGTGTCTTAGGCACCAAATTTAGAATTTGCAAAATTATGGTAGACTAAAGTAGTACTCTAGCTATATGAACAATTTGAGAAGCACGATAACCCAATCAACTTTAAATTACTCTTAGACCCATTTTACCGTGTCTTGTTGTGTTTTTTCAACCAAAGTATGACATAAACTTGACCTATTGATATATTATTATATACTCCGTATTATACAAACTATAGAGTACATAACATATGATTAACATGCATGCCCCGTGCTCGTGCCTCTATGTTTCAATCTTTTTATACTTCACGAACTCGATCCTATGTTATCTTTAAATTTCCGTATCAATTAATCCATTTAAAACCGAGAGCAATAAATAACAAACTCCTCTTTTCTAATACTCTTAGAAAAACCTTGAAATTAAGTAATGTAAATTAATTACTCCTTCCATCCCTTATTTACATGCATATTTCTCTTTATTAGTATATGAGAATTAAATATTAGAAATAGGCAAATAGGCATGTAAATAAGTTAATAAGGGACGGAAGGAGTAACAAAGACCCAAAGTCTATATATACTTATGTAAATTTTTAAACTTAATGAGCAAAATAACCTGGGTGTACCGTACACCCAGTGTAAAAAACGGTATACCCAAATGTACAAAACATACTTTCATATTCAGATTGACATCATATATAAAACCATATAAAACCAAAAAAGAATGCACAAAACCAGGTAGACCGTAGACCACTCCATAACAAATAAAAATCCATCTTAAGGCCGCTCATCTCGCTATTTCCTTCCTTCTTTCTATTCTTCTTCACTCCACTCTTTCTCCCTCCACCTTCCGCAATTGCCGCACTCAAATAATTCCACTAAAAAAAAAAACCCATTTTTTTTTAACAAAAATAAAATAAAACAAAATACTGGAAATCCAAATCCAAATCCAAATCCCAAAATTCAATAATAATTTTACTACTAGTCCAAATATAATCAACCACGCCACATCACCCAAATCACTATCATTGCATTCACCATATATTCTAACATTATAATCATAATTGTGTGTATATATAAATAATTCTCTCAAACACACTCACATTCCCTAAATTTCCACATTCATTTTACTAAATTCACCTAAAAATATAATCTTTTTTAATTTTCAGCGATCTGGGTCTTCTTCAATGATCCCAAGAAAACTTGGGTCATCATAAATTTTCAATTTTGTTTTTTATAATTTTTTAATTAGAAAAATTATTTTTTTAAAAAAAAATTGGAATTTTTTGATGGGTTGTGTGAGTTCAAAAGGAGGAGTGTCAGTGACACCGGCGGCAGATTACTCCGGCGTGTTCAGAGACAATGTAGTGGTTGTCGGGGGTTCTGGTCGGAGCAGGGTGGGACCCACTGAGTCAGAAGGGAAGAAGAGGTTTAACCCAAGTGATTCAGGGCGAGTCAGCTCAACTTGTGGGAGTGAATCAGTGAGTTTTAGGTTAGGGAATTTGCAGAAATATGTTGAAGGTGAACAGGTTGCTGCTGGTTGGCCTGCTTGGTTGAGTGCTGTTGCTGGTGAGGCTATTCATGGTTGGTTGCCTCTCAGAGTTGATGCTTTTGAGAAATTAGAAAAGGTGCTAAATTGTTCAGTTTTTGCATTTCATTTTAGTTTTAGTTGTGATTTTTAGTGGTTTTTTGGGTAGTTAAGGTAATGATGTAGAGGGGATTTGATCCGGGTTTATGTTTTTGTTTATGTCATAGTTTGTGTAAGAATTTTGAATTTTTGAGGGAAATTGAGATGTGTGATGAGAATTAGGTTCTGTGTGTTTTTGGAAATTGAGCTGGGTTTGTTCTCAAAAGAAGAAATTACAGCTAATATTGATGGTTTTGGGTTTAAATTTTGTAATTTTATTTAATTTTCTTTTTATAGTACTGTGATATCTCATGAAAATTTGTTCTTTAGTCTTAATTTGATTACATGTGACAATTACTGACTTGGGTTTGAGCTTCTATTTTGTTTGAGAATGTAATCTGTCAATTTCATGTGATTTCTGTCTTTTATTGGGTGGTTGGGGTTAAAAATTGGAAGCTTGTCCTGGTACTAAGTTTTTCTCTGGGGCCAAATTCTGGTATTGTTTGTTATAGAAGGAGAGATTATTTTTCAAGCTGATGTTTCTTGTTTTGTACTTTTCTTCAAGTTCAAGTAGTCGGAAGTTCGGAACGTTGGCCGGATTCTGGCATAAGGCGGTGTTAACTTGAGTAAAATGTATTAAAAGATGGTGTTTATGCTGATAGTATTGAGGTTTTAGTTTGATGATGATTTTTGGTTTAGTATGTCTAATGCCCAAGTAAATGAGTGTTTGTGATTGATTTTTGTTCTGGATTTATCATGTATCAACTGTTACTCATGCATTTGTTATGTAGACTTATTGGTGTTTTGTTTTTCTTACTTGTTGCATAGATTGGCCAAGGTACATACAGCAGTGTTTTTCGAGCACGTGACATTGAAACTGGGAAGATAGTTGCTATGAAGAAAGTTCGGTTTGACAACTTTGAGCCCGAGAGTGTTAGGTTTATGGCGCGAGAGATATTGATTCTTCGGAGGCTTGATCATCCTAATATTATAAAGTTGGAAGGAATTGTCACCTCCAAATTATCATGTAGCATATACCTTGTTTTTGAGTACATGGAACATGATCTTGCTGGACTAGTGTCTTGTCCTGATATAAAGTTTACGGAGGCACAGGTTTGTTCAGTTCAGATATTCATTACCGCATTTGTGTACTATTGATAATTTCATTTGGGAAAAACTGTTTAACTTCTCTTTATTTTAGTGGGATGTGGTTGGTAGTAGTTGTCTAAAACAATGTTGGAGTATAATGCTGCATCTCTTTCGTTTATGTAACAAATTTCCTTGATATATGCAGGTCAAGTGCTATATGAAGCAACTGTTATCAGGAATTGAGCACTGCCATTCGCGAGGTATAATGCATCGGGATATTAAAGGGTCAAATCTTCTGGTAAATAATGAAGGGATTTTGAAGGTGGCTGATTTTGGTTTGGCGAACTTCTGCAGTACAAAACGGCAACCACTCACTAGCCGTGTTGTAACCTTGTGGTACCGGCCTCCTGAGCTTCTACTAGGGGCAACAGATTATGGACCGTCTGTTGATCTCTGGAGTGTTGGTTGTGTATTTGCTGAAGTTCTTCTAGGAAAACCTCTCCTTCAAGGGAGAACTGAGGTGATTACTTTTGCCAAGCTCATGGCTTTCTCAACGTGATAATTACATCATTTTGCACAAATTAAAGTTTAGAGAACAGAATTATGGTATCGCTCATTTTCATGCCAAACCTTGAGAAAACTTGTGACATTTGATGAACAGGTTGAACAATTGCATAAAATCTTCAAGCTATGCGGATCCCCACCTGATGAGTACTGGAAGAAGTCTAAACTTCCTCATGCCACGCTTTTTAAGCCACAACAGCGTTACGAGAGCTCTCTTATGGTAACTTGTAAAGATATGCCCGAACCTGCTGTGAGCCTTATTGAAACTTTACTCTCTGTGGAACCATACAACCGTGGAAGTGCTTCTTCTGCTCTATGCTCTGAGGTATTAGTTATATACTTGGTTTAATTCCAAATTCATTTCTCTGAATATCTTGCATTTCTTGCTGTATAGCATTTTTTAATGTATATGCCAGTGCTACTAAATTTATTGTAATTACTCTATTGAAAATTTGAATTCTATCACTCAGGTCCTTTCTAATATTGGTTTTTATTTGGTCTCATTGTCAGTATTTCAGCAGTAAACCCTATGCATGCGACCCATCAACATTGCCAAAATACCCACCTAATAAAGAAATTGATGCAAAAGGTCGTGATGACGCTAGAAGGTGATATTTCTTATCTTTTTCCTTTTCTTTCGCTCTTTGATTAGGACCTAAGAAGCAACACTGTATCTTTAGGTACCATTTGGAAATCTGACTCTCTTATGAAACTGCTAATTAGATCTGTTTCCAATACTCTAAGACTTAATTTGATCCAACTTATATAAATAAGTTTCAATAAAATCAGTTTTGAGCTCTTTTTAACAAAAATAATAAATACATTTTGTTATCGACTGTCAATTTTAATCATAGAAAACCAGTTTATTTAGTTAATAATAAACAAGTGAACAGATCCTAGCACTGTTTTTTCCCTAAATAAAAAAATCCTAACACTGTTTTTAGTCTTTTTAAAACTATTGTTCCGGCCAAGAAACACTAGATATAGTGATATACTGCTGTATTTGACATATATCGGGGGTAAATTATGATTAGTATAAATATCCAGTGAAATGGTGGGACTTTATTCCATGATACATGGAAAAGCCCAGCGTTTCTGCCTCTAAAGTCAAACTCTAAAGCTCCTTGGGTTTCTTTGGCGCTCTGCTTTATGCCTGACTGTTTTGTTTGATATTCATTTTACAGGAAGAGAGTGAGTGGAAGAGGCCGAGGGAGTGAAACAGGAAGAAAGACAACAAAGAAACCGAATGGCATACGTAAACTTGCCCCAGCTGAGGTCTCTCTAACTTATTGTCTGCCCATTGCCGTTATAGAAACAATAAGAAATTACTATGTTCCTAACCTCTGTAATTTCCTTTGTGCAGGACTTGCCTTTGCCATCTCAAGTTCCAGATCCACAGCGAGTTAAAATCAACGGAAGTTTAGCTCTCTTTCAGCCAGAAGAAGACATAAAAGGGAGGGAACCACCAAAGCCATCAGTTGATAGGCGAGAAGAGCCTTCCCATTTAAAGAATGCTTCTCAAGGAGATGTGCCATATTCAGGCCCACTGCAAGTTTCAGCTTCAAGTGGCTTTGCATGGGCTAAAAGCAGAAGAGATGATACATTTGTTAGATCACACAGACGGTCTAGTTCAAAGCTTAGCTTTAATGGTTTAGAGACATATTTAGCATCAAATGATAGAAATAATTCTGAATTAAAGAAGCATGTTAACAATGGGGATATTTCTCTAGAAGCTCGTGCCTTTTCTAGAGGGCAAGATTATTATGAGGCACTGAAGCATACAGTAAGGAGACAGTGGAGCAACTTTGATCGTCCTGACTCTTTTGATACCTCGGATGAGTACCATTCGCAGGAATTATCTTTAGCACTATATCAGAAGGAGATTGGAGCAAAGAGAAACCACATGGTTAGTTCATATCATCAGTGCTGATCATGTATTAACTAACATAACTAAAAGAGAATTCAATTAATCTTGTCACGTTTGCATATTGCTTAGCTACAGCTATGTCATACCTATTTGTAAACCTTAAGACTTTTTTGACAACACAGTGATTATCAAAACTATAAGCAATGTTGATGCCTAAATTGAAAGGAAGCAGGATTGTTTTCATCAAAAGTGGTTTTCTTTGTGTTTATATATCATATTCATAGCTTTTATGTTAATGTATTACTTTCAACATTTCTAAACATCAGCAACTTACTGATGTCATTTCTTTGGGTTTCAGGATCAAGAAGACAAAGTTGAATTTTCAGGACCATTGTTAACTCAATCATACCGAGTTGATGAACTTTTAGAGAGACATGAGCGTCAGATTCGTCAAGCAGTTAGAAGATCGTGGTTTCAAAGAGGTAACGATTTGTTGCAAATGATGTGACTCAACTCCCTCCCTCCCCTTCACTGATCGGACCAAATAACCATAATTTGTTTTATTATCTCTTAGATTTGAAATTAGTTAGTCTTTGACATTCACTTTTCAATATCGAGTCTTGCTTCATTGATTTTTCTTTTTCAAGTCCTAAATGCCAACAACTCGTTTTCTAATGCTACTATTATTTTCACTTGTTATTTTTTTCAACTTCCCTTTTTCTTTGTCTTTTTCGCCTTTTCGAGTATGTTGGGCTTGTAGGTCCATGGTTATATGATTATCTAGTAAACATGATGAGTAATGCTTGCTGAAATCCAGAAATTCCCCGGGAATTAATACATCATTTTGGCACTTGATTGACCAAATAGGATATACAGCTACTACACTAACGTTCAACTCCACTATCTAAAGTTGGTGTACAACTGCAAATTTATATAATGTCAATGGGATAATGATTCGTGTTATCTGATTGTTGGTATGGAATATGGATGTAAGTTCTAAATGCTAAGATTTCCTCGTTGTCCCACCGATAAAGATCCTATTTCGTACAATGATGCCTGATGCATTGCCAATTGATTATCCATTATGAATTTGCATTAGAAACTTATTAGTTGCTTGAGTCATTTGAGTGAGATTTGTTCATTTTGTTTGATTCTGCACCCTGCAGGGAAAAAACAAGGAAAATGAGTGGAAGAATCGTCAAGAACGCTGTTTTGCTCTATATTTGGCTCAGTTCTGACAATTTGACATATACCATTCAATAAAGCGAAAATCCAATCTTGACATTTACCACATGAGTGATCAACCACTCAAAATTCAATCTCCGCGTTTCCTGTGCTTACCAAAGAGGTAGTAGAAGCCGTAGCAAAAGAGACTGAACCAAAATGCTCATAGAAAATCTGTTCAAGTTTTCGGTGCAACCAAGCTGAAGCCTGAAGTTGGTGGTTAGTTCACTTCCTTGCAGGATTATTGTCACCCCTTAGTGTACATACTAATAGGGATTATATCTTAAGAAATTATTAATATCTTGTAAATGATAATGACTCATAATATTTGTAGCCTTGTGCTTCCTTTTTGTCTAAATATTCCTAAGGAAAATAATAATTCTTTTAACAACTTTATTTTTTTTTTCTTCCATTTTCTTTGTTTTTGTAAAAAAAAGAAAAAAGGAAAAACTGCCTTAAAATAGCTGTAATAGGGTCAAACTTGTCTTACTTTGCCCCTACAAAAGAAAAAGCAGAAAGTTAAAAATAAAAGAAAAGGTAAAGATTATAATTAAAGAGAGAAAAAAGGAAAATTTGATGATTGCCGTTGAGTAACGATGTTATATAGTAGAAGTGGTTGGTTGGTTTCATATGCAAAATGTTGGCATTAGATATCATTTTGGGCCGTTTGATATCAACTGTTGTCTTGTGTAACACCCATCATTATGCTTTGGTAGGTTTAGATTGTTGAGTGGTGGTCCTTGCCTACTCATTTTATAAAATTTTCCAAGTTTTGTTGTCCTTCCTTGTCGTACGCTCTCCGTTGTCTAAATCTGACAAAATTGAGAGAGTGAGGGATAGCTCAAGTGGTTAGAGCTTCCTTTCCGATTCTAGGATCCTGGGATCAATTCTCACCCTGCCCTGTAGCTCTCTAAACACCAAAATAAAATTGACTCGTATAATTGTATCTGATTATTTAATTCCGATGTACAATAGTTTGACAATAACTCATAACTTGTTCGTTAATTAGAAAATTAAATTGATAATAGAGTCATGAAAACCACAAAACATTTTAAACGACTTTAGTCCCTTAGTAGTTTATAGTTTGACTTTTACCTTATTATTCTTATGTTCACATATAAGTTTGACAAAAATAAAAATAAATAATAAAAAAAAAAATTAAGAGTATTAAGCAAACTAGAATAATAAAATTTGAAGTCAATAGAAAGAGGGAGTAGGGAATTGGTAATATGGAGGTCTACGTTTATTAAATTCTAACTTCTAATTACCCTAAACATCCTGCTGGCCAATTCCCATAATGAGGAACAAACAAATCCTTATTTTATTTTGAAAATTTGGCTCATTTGTGATAAAATAAATAATAAATATAATTATCATTGGACTAAAAAAGACTTAATTGGGAAAAAAACATTATCAAATATTGCTAATCTGATTAACCAAATATCATACATTATGTGTTTTGCCCACTCGTGTGCAAAGATGGCACGTGCACGATATAGGCACGGCACATTACCATGCGTGTCTGGCCGTGGCCCAGGCTTGAGCCGCCTTTATTTGGAAGAAGCACAATAAGGGACAACGCAACCTGACCCGGCACAACAAAGCATGTTAAAATCAATGAAATTTTGCTAAGACACGTAAGCCCGACACAATAGCAAGTGGGCCTGGACCGTACATGGGTCAACTTTTTAAAATTTCGACCTAACTCGGCATCCACGGCATGACAAGAAACGGCATGACAAGAAACTCGTGGACCGAGCCATGGGCAACACGACCGGCAACACGACCCTTTTTTCCCCTTCTACTTTGATATATGCGATATGCCATTGAGATATGGGCCATTTTAAACACTATTTCGAATTATGATTAAGTAGTTGACAAACATTTATAGACATAAAAGAAAAGATAAACAGAAAATTGACATTCTATAATGAATAAAGGGCGTGTAACAGTATTACTTTATATAAGTAGTATACAACTCGATCTACTATGTTATTTAAATTATTTAAGATCTTTTTTATGATGAGTATAAGTGGTCTATTTTAGCACTTCTTAACATGCATAATTCGCCAACTAGAACAATACTAGTGACATGAAAGGGAATGATATTTTTAAAACGTAATACAATGAACTCAATATATCATAGAGAAGGAGGCAAATAGCTAACATCCAAAAAATAGGATTTGATGTCAACGTATAACAATAGGCATTAAGTTATCGTCCATGTGAACCCGACCCAACCCAATACAAAACATAATAGATGTAGGCTAATAATAAGTGTTGAGTCTGATCCGTTGACAAGGTTGTCCGTGTCTATCTTACTCAAAATAAATTTAATAAGAACCTTAGTGGTGATATAATTAGATACGCAGTATTAGTTATAGATGAAGAACAACTTGGTAATATAACTAGAAGGTTTGAGAACAGATAAAAGAAGCTACTCACTAGTCACTAGCATGAGTGAATAAAAAAAGATGAAGATGCTAGGAGATGGCGGATTAAATTTCTCCTCTTTTAAATAGGTAGCTAATGAATAAATACACATTTTAAAGGGTATAATTTTTCATATACTATTTTTAAAAGTTATCTCGGACGTAGTTTTAAATACAAGTAACAAGATGATGTTTTATGATTATGAATATTACCACCATCAAGTCAAGGCCTTAAGTTGGTGCGTTAATTGGGCTTTAATTACTCCAATTAGCCTTATGACATTGATAGTTATGATTTATGAACTTCTTTAGCAGGCCCATAAAATACAGGAGGTGTAAATGATTGATGCAAATGTATGATTACAAGATGTCCAGCCCATGTCAACATCTGAAACTCATAAACCTCCACGGATGTTCTATCAAGTGCATTTATCATATACGAAGTATGAGTTTATATATATTTAACTTTTTTCTCAAAAGTTAAGAAGAAATAAATATTAGAAAGCCCTTCTCACAAGAGAAAAAAAAAATTGTATAAATGTGGAGTACGAGTTTATATGTATACCAATTACCAATATATCAATATATCTATTGGATTCGATCAATTTTTTTTTTTGGTGTTCCACCCGATTCACCCTTTGGGCTAATCCGGTTTTAGGGATTAGTTCTCAGTGGTTAGGATCCGATCAATCTTGATTAGCTGTAAAACATACTTTCTATGTTGACACATTTCTAATTTTCTATTATTAGTTTTCTAATGTTCAATTTTAATACTTCTTAACATCTCTAATTATCAGCATTGCAATAAAATTATAAAAAGTGGATATTAATAAAATTTACATTTAGACGATTTAAACAAGATTTCACATGACTTATGTTATTGTAACTATAAATTACAAAAGTTAATCAAAGTATAGTTTGTAAATAGTGCAAAAAAGTCAAAATGTATCAACTTAAAAAAAAAAAAATATATATTTAAGGTGAACTAAACAAACTCTATAGCAAAATTGTCACAATGCTAGCAAGTTGCAACACAATAAGGTTTTGTTTGGTTTGGCGGAAAATTATACCCTTAAATCACAGTTTATTGCAAATTACAGTTAAAAGTAATAATCACATTTTAAAATAGTATAAATACTTTGTATAATTATTTAAGTAAAATCACAGTTATTGCAAATAAGCTTTTCTTGTTTGTTTACTTAAAAGCTATAGAGAAATTAATAGAAATTGGATGGTGACCGAAGTTGGATGAGAATAAAGGAAAAAAGAAGAAAAAGACGTAGGAAAAGTGATCGAAGTTGAATTTTACATCATTGGAATTTTACACTGTGAACACTCTCCTCTAACAATAATTTGTGATGTACACCATGTACATATATAAATATCAATTTTTTTAATCGGTGAACTAATTCAATTAACATTATGTAAGTTTGGTAAAAACAAGGTGAAAACGCAAGCCTTGCATACTATTTACACAAACTATTGCGTTAGTCTGGATTGTCAAAATGTTTCGTCAATCTGGACTGACGAAATGCGAATTTTGATATCCTCAATTAGCTTGATCATATTCTCTATTGGCTAGATGATATTCTTTATTGGCTATATAATATTATGGTTGGATGATATCCTCTATTACCTATATGATATCATTTATGATTGTATCTATGATGTTGGATGATATCCTCTATTTGCTATATGATATCATGGCTTGATGATATCTCTATTGGTTATATGATATTGTCCAGCCATTATATATCATATAGTCAATAAATGATATCATCCGGCTAATAGGATATCATTTAACCATTAAAAGATGTCATCAAGTCAATAAAGGATATCATCGAGAATCGAGATAATTGAGAGTATCAAAATCAGCATTTTCTCATTCCGGATTGACGACTGACGCAATACCTTCTCTAAAATTTATTCCGAATAAATTTAACTTAAAAATAAAAATAAATGTTATTCCTTGAAAGTGTGATGAAGAATTTGAAGATAATTCTCATAGGCTAAAATTGAGAGCAAAAGAATGTTAAAAAGTTGGGTTATTAATGCTTTGATAATCATTAGAGGTTATTATGGAATTTTGGTCTGCCATCATTAATGTTCAAACTACTTGTAATTTTTTAAATTATTAATGCTAGTCATTTAAGTGATATTCCGAGTATTAAATTTTTATTGGCATCTCAATTTCGTAAGTTTTGCTTTAATTTCTAGGATTCTGCTAACGAGCACCCCGGAGCGTTAGATAAAAATAAATTTTATTGGTTGAAATGATATTAAGTTAGAAATTCATGAAAAAATCACGCGTCGTTCGGTGTAATTGATGTTAATTTTACTCTAATATTTGCACTTTAATTCTTTTATCTAACGCCCCGGGGCGCTCATTAGCTTTTGCCTAATTTCTATTCAACGATAACTTTTACCTTTTGGAATGAGGATGACCCGTCAGAACCAGTTAGTTAGAATTTAGGATCTGAAATATGCGAAACGGGTTATAATAACTATGGATCAAGTCCCACTATTGGATTTTTCCTTTTTATACGTACATATTACGGGCCTGTTCTCATACGTTTATTTTCAGTTCAGTTCAGCTCAGTTTTGTTCAGTTCAGCTCCTAATTTCCTTCTCTTATAAAATATTCAGTTCAGCTCAATTCAGTTCAGTTCAACTGATTTCAATCTATTAGAACAGGCACTACGAGTATGTTTTTTTATGTTTGCAAATGGATAATTTCAACCGTTAATTTCTTTGAAAATTATTTATATAAATTATAATTCATAGTTAGGGCCTGTTCTCATACGTAGAAATTCAGCTCAGTTCAGTTTAGCTCAGTTCAATTTAGTTCAGTTCAGTTTAGCTCATAATTTCCTTCTCTTATAAAATATTCATTTCAGTTCAGTTCAGCTCAGTTCAGTTCAGCTGAGTTCAGTCAATGAGAACAAACCCTTAATATTAATAAGGACTTGCTGGTTTCAAAAAAAAAAAAAAAACTTGCTAATGAATGCCCGCGTGCGTTAGATACGAGTAGGTATTTAAAACTTTCTAATGTGGTACTTCGTATTAATTTTGTAATGCATGTCAAAATTACGCGATGATCGGTATAATTAATGTTGATTTTAATTTAATAATTCTATTTTTAGTCATCTTATCCAATGCCTCGGGGGCGTTAAATAAGAGAACTAAAAGTGAATATTAAAGTAAAATTAGCATTAATTACACCGATCGTCACGTGATTTTGTCATGCATTCCAAACTTTACACCGTACTATTTTAAGTAATACGTATACTACCTTCGTTAACTTTTAGTTCCAAATTTGAAATATTTCATATCTCACAAATAATACCCCCAAAGTTGCAACTAAGGACATGTTCTCTTCAGCTTATTTTCAGTTCAGTTCAATTCAACTCCAATAAGTTTAGTTCTTAATTTCCTCCTCTCATAAAATATTCAGTTCAGCCAATCAGAACAGGCCCTAAAAGTTAACGGAGGTAGTATTAAGTACTCCGTAGTTATCTAATGTCCTAGGGCGCTTGTTAGCAAAATTCTTAATAAAATACACAGCAAATAGATTTAACAATTTCTCATCCGAATATAGTTTTTTTTTTTTTTTTTTTTTAAGTATATAAATCTCAAATTACAATTAAAGTGGAATATGTAAATAGTAGAAATGCTGTAAAAAAACGACAAAATAGAGGTGTTTAATATTTTGATATGTAAAACAATACTAGTATATAGTTTCTCCGTTCACCTTTAGTTGCAATGTTAGTCTAACTCGACATGACATTTAAAAGTTGTTCCTAAATAACGCTCTAATTCTTTACGATAAAAAAAAATGGTCTCCACGACGCATCTCTACTTTATTTAATACCCCACATATTAAAAACCAAACATATTCATCAATCCATTACATATATCTCCTAAAAATACCAAATCATGGACACAATAATCTTTAAGGGACAAAGAGAGTATCAATAAAGATAAATTCGCCACAAGTCAATACGAATACCATCTACCGGGCTTTAATATACCTAATCTAACCCCATCATCATAGATTCATTCATATGCTCAAAACCTTATGCAAAAATTGCAAAATTATAATCAATGAATGACAACTTAGCAACCAAAAACATACCATTTGGCCATATTATATCTACTCATTTAAAAAACCCATAATTCTAATTATACAAATACAAGATCTTGCCTGCCAATAACCAAACTTTCATAAAATACCACCACATGAAAAAATAAAAAAAAGTCTGCATTCTTCTTTTGACATTAATCCCAAAATTTAGCTATTTTCTCTATCCTAAAACTTTCATAATCCTCTGTTTTTTTGTTTTTCCAGACTCACTCTCTCTCCTCCATTGTTACACCTCACAAATCTCCATTTTTTCTCCTCTCTTCTCTGTAAATAATATTCCACGTGTTCATCAAATTACCCATCTTTTATTATTATTTTTATTTATTATTGGGAGTATTATTTTACCAAAATTTGTTGTTGATTTTTGCAGAAGAAGAGGAGAGAGAAATTTAGAGGGAGAAAAATAAATAAAAAAGGGGAAGTCTAAGTGAATTCTCCTTTTCAGTCCACACTAAATAATATCCCCTTTTTTCTTTCTTCTTTCCCATGTGATTCTGATTGCTCCCAGCTTATGAAATCATCATTTTCTTAACCCCTTTTTATATTTTTGTCTAATTTTTGATCCACCATATTTAATTTATAATTATTGATTATACTTTATTATACTCAATTACATTCTGGGTTCTTCTCGACTTTTAATTTTTCTGGGGTGGTTGTTGAATTCTTCTTGATTTGATCATTTTATCCAATTTTGCACCAAATTTGATAAATTTTGAAGAGGGGTTTAATTATTCAATTCTGGGTATTTATTTAGCTGGATCGCAATTGATTGGATCTGGATTAGGGCTGGTTTTCATTGGAATTAATCGTTTTGGATCCGATTTTGGGGAAAACAGCGCCATCCCATGGCGCTGTTTCGTCGATTCTTCTATAGGAAGCCACCTGATCGGCTTCTCGAAATTTCTGAGCGAGTTTTTGGTTGGTTTTCCGAATTTAATTTTGGTTAATTATTTGTGCAAATGGTTATATTTTTCTGGGTTGTTTGAATTATGAGTTTTGTTTAATGGGTTGCTTTTGATTTTCTGTTATAATGTGTTTAAGTGTTGTTGATCATTGAGCTGAAGTGCTTCAATTTATGCTGATTTTGATGCAATCTGAGGGGTTGTTAGGGTTAGATTTGGTTTCCATTTCTGGGTTTTTATGTCATTGTCATTTTTAGGTTGTTGGCATTTGACATTGTGATGTAGCTTTGCATAATTGAGCTGGGTTTTTGGCTTGCATTCGACTTCTTGAGACGATTTTCGCTGTTTTAGCTACGGAGAGCTGATTGTTAGCCTGTTAGGGTATATCTGCAGTATTTGAGGTTTTCTGTTAGCTGAACTTTTAATGTAGTTCTCATTTTAAATGGCATTCAATTAGTTTATGATGCTTTCTTCTCTGCTTAGAAGAGGATGTGGAAACTTTATGAACTTAAGAACTTATCCTTGACTTCTCTTTAGTTAGCCTTTTCTGTTAGTTGAGCATGTCAATTGTTCTTTTACATTCAATTCTGCAAAAGGGTTGTTCATTTGCAATGGTAAATTGGATCGTTGTTCCTTTTCAGTGTTTGATTGCTGCTTCTCCACGGATGTGTTGAATGAGGATGAGTACACAGAATACCTTGGTGGTATTGTGACACAGCTACAGGACTACTACCCAGATGCCTCATTCATGGTGTTTAACTTTAGAGAAGGGGATCGAAGGAGTCATATTGCTGATATATTGTCTGATTATGATATGACGGTTATGGAATATCCTCGTCAATATGAGAAATGTCCTTTGCTTCCCCTGGAAATGGTTCACCACTTCCTGCGCTCCAGTGAGAGCTGGCTGTCGTTGGAGGGACAGCAAAATGTATTGCTGATGCACTGTGAAAGAGGTGGCTGGCCTGTCCTTGCTTTTATGCTTGCAGGCCTTCTTTTGTACAGAAAGAACTATTCTGGTGAGCAAAAAACACTTGAAATGGTCTACAAGCAGGCCTCGAGGGAACTACTTCAGCTTTTGTCTCCTTTAAACCCACAGCCTTCACAACAGAGATATCTTCAGTATATATCCCGAAGAAGTTTAGGCTCTGATTGGCCTCCTTCTGACACACCTCTCATTCTAGACTGTTTAATACTTAGAGTACTTCCTTTGTTTGATGGGGGTAAAGGCTGCAGACTAGTAGTTCGTGTTTATGGGCAGGACCCTTTAACCAAATCTAGCAGAAGTACTAAGCTGTTATTTTCATCTTTAAAGACCAAAAAACAGGTCAACCACTATTCAGAGGTAAAGTCTTATATTTTTGCCCACTTAATTTCTGATGATGATTTAATAGCTTTAAAGACCTTATCTTTGGCTAATTAATTGCAGACAGAGTGTCTCTTAGTAAAATTGGATATTCGTTGCCGTGTTCAAGGGGATGTGGTTTTGGAATGCGTCCATCTATTTGATGATTTAGCAAGGGAGGAAATTATGTTCAGAATTATGTTTCACTCTTCCTTTATTCGGTCAAACATTTTGTCTCTTAGCCGTGAAGAAGTCGATATCTCATGGGATGCAAAGGATCAGTTTTCTAAAGACTTCAAAGCAGAGGTAAGTTGTAGTTGTCCTTTGAGATTCCTTTTCTTCCTCAAATGATGGGAGTTGAATGCATACTTATTATCTTTCTCAGGTACTCTTTTCGGATGTTGGAGCAGTTCCAGTTATAACCACTGAGCTACAAAGTGATGATGACAATGAATTTGATAGTGCTTCACCAGAGGAATTTTTCGAAGCTGAAGAGATATTCAGTAATGCTGTTGATGCCCAAGATGGGAAGACTGATTTGGATTCTCCTTTAATTCATGATAGTTCTGCCAATGAAGTCAGTAATAAAGGACAGAAAGAGGATAGAGAGCCACCTGCATTTGTAGATTGTGCACCAGAAGCAGGTGCTCGTAGACGCAACTCAAAAGGACTATTGGAGCTTGAAGCAGTGAAGGATATAGGCCTGGATGATTTGAGTAAAACATTGCATCGGGATGTTGAGTCTGATCCTAATGCTGTCAAAGACATTCTTATGGATGATACAAATCAGAAAGAAGATGTTAAATGGGCTGTGGATGATATCATTTTGCATGAAGAGAAACATAAACATGAGGTACACTTTGATGATCTGAATGAGGTGAAGGACATTGCTTTGGATGGTCAAGATAAAGAGGCAGACATGACGATTGTGGTTCCAGATGTGCTCATAAAGCAGGATATTAAGACTGATTTTGTAGATGGCAACATGGTGGGGGAGCTGGATAGCAAACAAACTGTAGAGGACTGGGAAACAGAAAAGAGGTCAGATAGCAATAGTCCACAGCGAAAGTTGAGTGGTGATGTTAATAAGCTAAAACAAGAGAAAGTCTTGCAACCTTCACCCAAAAGGCCCCCTACATTTAACCAAAAGTCAGCTTCTGATTCTGCTTTGGGAAAGCACAGAGGAAAACAGCAAGAGGTAGCAGGGGATAAGTCTGGAAAGCAAAAACCAACTGAACATCGGTGGATACCTTCAAATAAAGGCTCTTACACCAATTCCATGCATGTGGCTTATCCATATGCTCGGGTAAACAGTGCACCACCTTCTCTAGGAAGTACAAAAAATCAAGTGAAGGACTCTGGTTCTGTTGGTAAATTGAAGGATCGTGCTGCCAGCACTGATCTTGGGTTTGTTGCTTCTAGTATCGATAGACGTCTGCATAAATCTCAGGATGCAAAGTCCATAAGACCTGTCGAATCTGCAAAAGTTTCTCGCCTTGAAACTCCTGATGATGGGCTTAGCCAAGAAGTTTCTAGCCCTATATGCTCTCCTCGCTCAGATTCTTCATCTTTGGTTGATCCATCCTCTCACACTTCAGCCGAGTCTCATGAACTTCAAGAAGAAACAAAGGCACCCTTACCCTCGCCTCCCCTATCTACTGTACAATCTTCTTCATCATATATCCCAGCTGTAGAGGTTTTACCACTACAAAGACCTCCGCCCCCACCTCCTCCACCACCTTCTGTAACTTATGTCAATTATAAACTGTCCTCTTCAATGCCTCAACCATTGCTTCCTGATTCTGCTAAACAATGTGGAGTTACAACCATGCCTCAACTGGCACCACCCCCTCCACCACCACCTCCACCTCCCCCTTATTCGAGAGTCACACCTTCACCATCACCCCAAACGGTCTTAGAAACCGCACCCCCACCCCCACCGCCGCCACCACCACCGCCACCTTCTAGTTCAAGTAGAATGTCGGCACCTTCTTTTTCACCCCCTCCATTTTATGGTGCTCCTGCTCCTTCCATCCGAGTAGCCACACCACCACCACCTCCACCTCCACCTACTAGACGCGAAATGCCACTCCCTTCCTATGGTGTGACTTCCTTACCGCCTTCTTATGGAGCACCTCCACCTCCACCTCCACCTCCACCTCCACCACCACCTTTTGGGGGTAGAGTTTCTTCCCCACCTCCTCAAACTGATGCCCCTCCACCACCACCACCACCACCACCGCCGCCACCGCCACCACCACTACCTTTCGGGAGTCGAGGCCCTCCCCCAACACCGCCAACTCCTGGCCGCCAAGCCCCTCCTCCACCACCGCCACCACCACCGCCACCTCCAGGGGGCCGAGCACCTCCCCTACCACCGCCACTTCCTGGAGGCCGAGCACCTCCCCCACCACCACCACCACCTGGAGGCCGAGCACCTCCCCCACCACTGCCACCTCCTGGAGGCCGAGCACCTCCCCCCCCACCACCACCACCTGGAGGCCGAGCACCTCCCCCACCACCGCCACCTCCTGGAGGCCGAGCACCTCCCCCACCACCGCCACCTCCAGGAGGCCGAGCTCCTCCCCCACCTCCACCTCCAGGAGGCCGAGCTCCTCCCCCACCTCCGCCACCTCCAGGAGGCCGAGCCCCACCCCCACCTCCTCCACCTCCCGGTGGCGGAGGCCCTCCCCCACTCCCACCTCCCCCCAGAGGCCGAGGCCCTCCCCCGCCTCCGCCACCTCCTGGTGGTGGTCGAGGCCCTCCCCCACCTCCACCACCTCCTGGTGGAGGTCGAGGCCCTCCCCCACCTCCGCCGCCTCCTGGGGGTGGAGGCCCAGGCCCTCCCCCACCACCTCCTCCAATGCGTCCAGGAGGACCACCTCCACCCCCTCCCCCTAGAGGTGGTGTTCCAGGTCCACCAAGACCCCCAGGAGGTGGACCACCACCGCCCCCGCCATTTGGTGCAAAAGCCTCTCCAGGTGTACCTAATGCGCCTCCAGCGGGAAGGGGTCGTGGGATGCCACGTTCAGCACCAGGAAGTGCACCTAAAAAAACACCCCTTAAACCATTTCATTGGAGCAAAGTGACGAGGGTCTTACAAGGGAGCCTTTGGGAAGAATTGCAAAGACAGGCAGGGTCCCAAATGTAGTGTATCTTTCTTTCTTTTCTTTTCTGCAATAGCATATATAGATTATATTTTCCTTCCATCGTATATGTCAATTTTGCTTGCATGTGAACTGCCTTTTGAGTTTTTCCATGGGTCATCATTATACTGCTCGTAATCCTTTTTACTTTGGAGTTACTAGATGTCTATTTCTTTCATGGGTCATCAATTTACTGCTCATAGTATTTTTTCAGTTTGGAGTTATTAGATGGCTGTTTCAACAGTGGAACTTTTCTGTTTTATTTAGGGCTGGTGTATTTTTGTTATACGTAAGCATTGATATCATTCTTTCGAATTTAAGTGCTGCAGAATTTAACGTGTCAGAGATCGAGAAGCTTTTCTCTAATCAAGTGTCAAAGCCTGCAAGCGCAGGAGGGAAATCGGCTGAAAAGAAGAAGGCTGCTGGATCCAAACCTGAAGTTATTCATCTGGTAATTCAGTAGAAATGGCATATTATACTCCTTTAACTCATATGTACTTGAGGCTTTTTTTATTTAGTTTTTATTTCCTTTATTTATTTATTTATTTTTTATTTTTAAAAAGTATGTATGCGTTTGTATTGTTTATATGTTTATTATGTTTCTGAAAGCCTTGGTTATTAGCTAATATTCCTAGTAGCTTTCATTTAACAACCAGTATAGAGTTTGTATTTTATAGAATTACTCTAGTGGTAAGTGTATAAGCCTATAATGTCGATGTATATAGCATGTGAGAAGATATCACTTGCATTCAGGATATCAGATCTTTTGTTTTCTATGCCTACAGTTGCCTATTTTCTTTAGTACATGAATGGATGTTCTTAGAAAAAAAATAAACTTAAAAAGATCCTAGGATGTGTCATTGCTTGGTAAGATCTCCTTTGTCATCACTTGGGTAATATCAGTGTGCTTGTGTGTGTGTTTGCAAAATTATATCAGAGCTGCAAAATTTATGAAGACCTAAGCCCAACTACCCTGCAAAAAAGTCCAATGTCTGGCAAGTTGATTTGATTTCCTGTATTTTCGTGGATTGGTATGAACCTCTCATTCACTCTTTACTTTCTTTTCTTCTCTTCTTCATTTCCTCCATTCTCTTCCCTTAAGGTCCCCAACACTACAACTCCATTTTTGCAGATGCAAATAACTTTCACAGGATCAAACTAAAAATAAATTAAAAATGCAAATTAGAAATGGAGATCTAGAAAATAGTGAACCAAATCGTTCAAATCTGTTAATGAAGAGAATGTCAATTATAAGAAAGGGCGCTGATAATTGGAATTCATTTTGTGGATATTTCTCACCACTTTGTTTGCTAATCATTTATAATTAAAAAAAATTGGGAAAAAATTCAATTACTTCAACATGCAAACAAGCTTTAAATAATAGTGGGAGAAGTGGGGTTTTTGTTAAAAAGCTAGGCATTGAGTTGACTTTTGACCAAGCCATCCATGGATATTTTGTAAAGTGGGAGGGGGAGGTTGTTTTTTCCCTTACATTTTTGGATAAACATGTGTTGTTGCTGATCAGTCTAGACCTTTTAGGCTGTCACCTCTTGCAATTTCATTCTGAAGGTTACTGCAGGTCAATTGTCCAGCAAATTTGATTGTGGAGGTGGGGTAAGAGAGATAATGGCAGGGGAGGAAATAGAATATAAAGGAAGGGAAAGTAAGAAAATAGAGGTTTAGATTCAGAGTTCCTGTTTCCATGAAAAAATATAATGAGGAAGTTAAAATCTTTGCCATAAAGAAAACTATGTCAGCTCTCTGGGAAATTGACCTTTTTTCTGCCGGAATGTCTGTTTAGATGCCACTTCACAAACTTTATATCCTAGGGAAAAAAATTATTAAAGGCACTCGTTCATAAAATAGAGGTTTTAAGGTGTTGCACGGCAAAGGAAAAAAAAAAAGCTGAAGACAAATAATGAGTGGTGAATCTTTCATTCTCCTTACATTCTCTTGTTTAGAATACCTGTAAGTACATAATCAAATCTTGCTGCTCAGAGTGCTCACTCCTGAAGTCTTAACTGGGATTCCCCTGTGATTTATTAGTATCATTATTTGTAGCTATCATGTTTCATAATAAATCAGCAATAGAGCTGCTGTTTTGCAGCGTTGTGGTTGTAGACTAGTTCTTTTGTTGTTGTGAGACTTTGTGAGGACAGTGATTTTTCTATCTCAATTAGTAAGATATACTTTGTGTCTTTAAACCAGTTGATCATATTTTTTGTGAATGATCCCCTGATTTTTGGGGTAGTGAGTTACACGTTTAGATTCATGGAAAATGTTATAGCCTTTTTTTTTTTTTTTTTTTTTTTTTTCTCTCCCATGAGCTCATTGGCCGTATAAACAAAACCTATATGAGAAATTACTTGCTTAATTTATCCCCTTTTTAGCAAACTTATTGCTTGTTTAGACGATCCCTTTTTCCTGTATATAGTGATAAATTTTTTGACATGAAGCTAATGGGAAATACTTTTGACCGTCCTTATGGAAAATCAATGAGAACTGAACAAATCTTCTAAGCATGGATTTCAATTTAAATGTGAATGTCATGGATGATTAACAAACATAAAGTCTGATGATCACAGCGTATAACTTTCTATATCCTGATACTTATTCATGTGAGAAGATAATATGCAAGGGATTACTGTTGGCATTGTACATTCGTAATCTTGCACCAGCCAAATTTATGTTACCATGAGAAGGGGTTTTCAATCTTTGTGGTGCTCATTGGTTATATTCGATGCTAACTAGTTATGATTGCAATTTTAGTTTCTCAATTGTCTTCACCTTTTTGTACTTTGCTTGTTGCTTGGATTCAATCATATTTATATGTCTAAATGCTTGCTGCAGATTGATCTCAGAAGGGTTAACAACACAGAGATTATGCTTACAAAGGTTAAGATGCCACTCCCTGATATGATGGTATGCTATAATTTTCTTCATATATATTTCCATTTTATTGAGTAATGAGGCAGATTTTTGTGATGGGTTTTCAATCAGCAAGTCAATTTATGCATATATATTGAGAAAACCATGATCCTCGCTATTTAAGTAATCTGTTGCCCAACTTTGATAAATGTAAAGTATGTCCTTAAATCTATTTAAGATAACTGACTGTATACCTACGGACCTACCCTTATATTTTGGTGTAAAGAGAGGATTTGCAAGTTGGTGATGAATTCTGTAAATATTTGTGAATGTATATACATATCTCGATGATAATTGACAATCTAAGTGGAGTGGTTTTGATGTATTTTTTGAATGGGATATCTTTCATTCTTGATATGTTCAGAATAGACTTGTTGTACAGAAGATAAAAAACATAGCAGTCCTTTTGTCCTTTGGATGTATAAATAGTTTTTATTTCTTTTATGAAAAATGTTCTTCAGACTTTCCTTGACCTACTCAAACTCTCAAAGACATTGGAATGCAGTTATGAGTTGTGAACTTATGTTGGCTCTCAGTTTCATTATTCTTCTTGCACCATGACCACTATGTATACAATTGTCAGATTAGTGAAATTGTGTTGCCAGTCCTGCAAAAGCTACTAGAGTTCTCCTGGAACTGCACTCTCTAGGAAAGCTTTTACTCAATGTTTGGCTATAGCTGTGAATCAATTTTGATGTAGATGAATTTTAATGTGATATCTTCAAGCTGATATATGTTATAGGTTATACTGTTATACTCACCTTTTCTTTTTAATATATCTGTGTGTGTATGTGTTATTACTTTCCATAGATGTTAAAAATATTAATCCATGTTGCCATGTTGATTAAGGCAGATTTTGTGCACTTTTTGCATCCTCTTGGTTTAGACAATGAAGATTTGACCTTGTTAGTTTCTTAACATATTCACTTTTTTGAGAAGGTACTGTGGGGGGTATATTGTGAAGGGATAAGCAGTTACATTGTCTGTATTTATTCATGCCATGCTAAGTGTTAGTGCTGCCTTAATCTATTCCGCAGGCTGCAGTACTTGCTATGGATGAGTCAGTCTTGGATGCTGATCAGGTGGAAAACCTAATTAAGTTTTGTCCAACTAAAGAGGAGATGGACACTCTAAAGGTTAATTTTTTGATCTTTGAACTAAAACATTTTTATATTTCGTTGTTATTGCAAGTCTTCTGCACCATTATCTTTGATTGGGAATAGGTTTCACATGCTTTAATAATTATCCTAGAGTAGTCCAAATAATTTTGCTGAAATTGTAGTTTTGACTTTCTTTCTATTTCTTTGTAGAACTACACTGGTGATAGGACAAAGCTGGGAAAATGCGAGCAGGTTTGTAACTATGCATTTTTGTTTGATTAATAAAACTTTTAATAGAACTTTTCATCTATTGATCTTTATTACATTTGTGGATCTTTGCCTTCATATTGTAGATGCTCAATTGATTATAAGCTTCTTTTCCTGGTCTTAGCTATCTTTTAATGACTTTCTCTTTTTTATTATTCCAAAAGTCTGAAATATATGCGTACTCTGAATGTCACTTTTGATTGTTGGTTTGCTTACTTTCTCTTCTTTATGTTTTACAGTTTTTTTTAGAGCTCATGAAAGTGCCGCGGGTGGAGTCAAAATTACGAGTATTTTTGTTCAAGATTCAGTTTAACACACAGGTAGTTTTGTTTAGTGGGTTGCTTTGTAATAACACCATTTTGAGCACACTTATGTGGCCTTGCTTGGTGTACATTGCTGAAATGTGTCATTGTTCCCCTTTCTTTTTGCAGGTTACAGATTTCAAAAAGAGTTTGAATACTGTAAATTCTGCATGTGAAGAGGTACATTTCGTTTACACAGATGCCACTTTTGTACTGTTTTCATGTATGTCCTGATCTCTTCACTTGTGCTTTCTTATATTTAACTAGGTGCGAAATTCTGGGAAGTTGAAAGAGATCTTGCAGATGATTCTTAATCTAGGAAATTTATTAAATTCTGGAACTGCAAGAGGTATGAATACCAATTTAGTAATGTGCTTCTCCATTAAATTTTTACTACATTCTTACTTGGTAGACATCTACTGGTTATACACTATCCTGGTTGATTTATCTCTATGAAACTCATATTTGCTGCCCTTATCAAATGGTCAATATAAGATCTGTATTAGAAGCATCTTTTTTCTCCTTTTTTTCCCTTAGCAGGCCAAAGTAGCATCCTCCTGCTTTGGTTTAATTGGTGTGTGAAGAGTGGAAAATCTACACTTTTTTAGCCAGACTTTTAAGCGGCTGATTCCTAGACTTAAGAAGAGCTCATTGCCAATTTGTAATTATGCTGCCTCTTGATCTGCAATGTAACCTATGTGAGCTGTGTCCAGCAAAATTGGACTGATCTCTAATTTTAATTATTACCTATCAGTCAGATTTGCGCCCAGATTTGGGTTGATTTTTGTGAGGCCCCTTGGTAATCCCCTCTCCATCTAGTTCGCTAAGATAGTGCAGAAATCTTTGCCGGATATGCATTACATTGTCAACATGGTTTGTCTCCATTAATATCCATTGTGAAACTAATACGGAGTAATAAGGATCTTAGTTTACCATTATCTCTTGCTTATGGTTTTGGTTGCTGCCTGACTAGTCTTCAGTTATATTAACAAGTCTATGTACGTTTATCAATTGCCATATATAATAACAAGGGCAAGAATAGTTTTTTAGACCAGGCTGACTAAGCCAAAGTGACTTAACCAAAAATAAGGAAAATAACCCTAACAAACTATTTGATTTTTTATTTGTCGAGTGATGAAACTTCTTTTGATATTTTGATTGATTATTCAACTCTTCATATCTTATAGGATCTGCAGTTGGCTTCAAGTTGGATAGTCTTTTGAAACTAACAGATACTCGTGCAACTAACAGCAGGATAACACTTATGCATTATCTTTGCAAGGTATGTCCTTACTTCTTTTCAAGGTTTTGATGTCTTTACTTGGAACAATTTGTCTTCTACTTGTTCATTGTGAAGTAGCCAGGCCTATTTCAATTGCTTGGAAAGGCTGTGTATATTTGATTCTCCAGTCCCCCAGACAGGAGCCACATGCACTGCAAGTCGCCGTGGATTGTTTAGTTCTATGAACTTTAGTTTGGATTCCAATTTAGCCTATTTTTCTCTGATTGTAATGTTTATGACCATTTTATCATGGTGTGTTTCAATGTATTGGGGCTTGGTGAAGGGATCTTATCTTATAATATCAAGCGTCAAATGATGGGAGCTATATATAAGCATTTATCCGAAACTAACGAATGAGATATCAAAATTAATCAAATAATAGTCTTAAGTAAAAAGTTATATATATATATATATATATATATATATATATATATATATATATATATATATATATATATATATATATATATATATATATATATATATATATATATATATACACACACACACATATAACTTGTTATTTATAATCCCATATCCTGCCTTTCTTTACAATTAGACACCTTTGCATATATTTTTGTATCTCCTCTTGTTTGCCTTTGGAGTGCTTGGATAAAGAAACTGCAAAACATGCCCAAAAGAAGTGTGTGAATTGTATATAGATTTAGGACCTCTTTGATACTAGGGACTATTAATCTATTTTACTAGATCTAGATTTGACTAGGTGCTCTGATGGATTGAATTACAAACATCCAGAAACCGAATATGGTAAAATATCTAATAAGTTTTAGATACAGTGTTTGACGGTGGCTGTTGAAATTGTTTATCTGGTATGCACCATTGAATAAAGTTCATCACTGTTGCTTTGAATCTGTTACTTGGATGAATTCATGCAGAATCTAGCTTTGAGCTGGGTTTAGTTTGTTGTTTTGTTTTTGCTTTGCTATTTTTCAAACTAAAAGACAGAACTCTTGGGACATTGGAATCTATTCTTAGACATCCTGTGTGCTAGAGAGAATATGAAACCTTCACTTCTGTATTTTAATATGAAACCTTCACTTCTGTATTTTAATGTCTTAAGAGAATGATATTTTGCACAATCATAGCTTGAAGTCTATATAGAAAAATTGCATGTGTACATAATGTGAATTTGCATGGGATCTGCACTGCCTGTTGAATGATTACTATAAACCCATGTTGAAGGATTTCTATAAAGCGATAATGTTGAAGGATTTCTAAGTTTCCCAGTTTAAACCCTTGAATGCTAGAGAGAATTTGTTACCTTCTCTGATCTATTATTTCTTCTTCTCCTTTTCCTTTTAATTTCTAGTTTCCAGTTCATAATAGTTGTTATTTTTCAGTTTGTAGCAGAGAAGTTTCCTGCACTGTTGGATTTTCATGAAGATCTTCTAAGCCTGGAAGCTGCAACAAAGGTTTTATTATTTTTCATTATGACAACTCTATGGTAAATAATTGACTATAGGCTGAGTTACAGCTCTTTTTTACAGATACAATTGAAGTCCTTGGCGGAAGAAATGCAGGCTATAAACAAAGGATTGGAAAAGGTTAAGCAAGAGCTGTCTGCATCTGTTAATGATGGTCCTGTTTCTGAGGTTTTTTGCACGGTACGGATTTTCGTTTTGTGATGTTTGAAATAACTGTCTTTCATGATATGACATCTAGTAAATCTCTCCAGATGACTTTCTATCCCCATTATCCTTGGTACTTTAAGTTTCTTTATTGGGGTGAATTCCTACTCCTTCCCTCCCCCCTAACTCTTCTTTTGAGGTTGTAACACTTGAAGTGTAGGAGCCTTTTTTTGTTTTGACTTTGAAGTTTAGATAGAAAAATCCTAGAGCTTTGAGGAAATTCAAAATCCAAACCATGGAAATACAACCTTAGTTACAATAATGATCGCTGGGACACAACCTTTCCTGCCAGTATCGATATTCATGTCATAAAATTAAATTTGTTGATTTTGAACCTTCCTGGTTCTGCCCACGAGCTATTTTCTTTTTTTGTGTGTTGTCTTTTGATGTTGAAATGATGAATTCAATGTTAAGAGATCACAGCTGTCGGGGAACTCTTGCTTCCCATTCTAATGCTGTGTAATACGTTTGTTTCAAAATCCTCATACATTTATTTTTTAAATAATTTTTATTGTTTATCCTTTATTTGATTTAATTTTCTCGAGCAATTTCACATTACAGTTAGTTTCTAGATACAATACAAGATTCTCTTGATTTCTTTCGCTACCGAATCAATTTAAAAAGAAGAAAATTTTGCAGTCATTATTATTATTTATTTATTTGATATTTTTTCCCTCTTTCATTCTTTCTCTCCCCTTTTTTCTTTATTGTATTAACCTATATTTACAATTATTATTGTCATAGACTCTGAAGGAATTTGTCGGTGTTGCTGAAGCAGAGGTGGAATCTGTGATGAGCCTTTACTCTGTGGCGGTATTACTTTTTCTACTTTTATCTTCTCTATGGTGCATTGCATTCATGCCTTTTGTTCTTTTGTCTAACTTATTGGGAGACAGGGTAGAAATGCGGATGCACTAGCCTATTATTTTGGTGAAGATCCTGCTAAGTATCCTTTCGAGCAAGGTATCATTGAAAGATTCAGTACTAGTGGTTTTTAAAGCTTATTGCTTGTTTAATTGGGTATGTCATAGCAAATGATAAATACACTTAAAATCTTAAGTACCATTTTTGAGCGAAACCTTTTCATTTTCACTCAACTACTCAAGGCCTGCAATTTGTGTTGAAGTAATGTTATACCCATTTCATTGTTGCTTCAGACTGCAGTTCCCAGTATATTAGCACTTCCTTTCACCGTGGCTGAATTTGAACATACCATATATTATAAATTTATATTACTTTCCGTAATTTTGCAATTTTGATTGTTTGTCTGTCACAGAAAAGCTGTCTGGTTATCATATATAATTGCAAACTATCTTTTGTTTTCCACAGTGTGATTGATTTTACCAGACTTGCAAATAGCATTAATAAATATCAAGTTAGCTCATGTATTTTCCCCTAACTGAATGCAGTTGCACAGACTCTGTTGAACTTCACAAGATTATTTCGGAAAGCACACGATGAAAATTGTAAACAGGCTGAATTGGACAAGAAAAAGGCCCAAAAAGAGGCTGAAATGGAGAAGGCAAAAGCAGCCAACCCATCAAAGAAGAGTGAAACGTAGTTGAAAGAATGACAGTTCTCTCTCGTGAAGCCCAGAGTTGCACCATGGATGTAAAGGCCTCGTGCAGTCTCAGTAACCCAAAAGCAAAATCAAGCTTTTGTTGCCACCATTTGCAGTGATAGTGAAGGATGTTTCAAGGTGGTGCAGAATGAGATGCAGTCCGTCAAGGCCTGTTGAACCTTCGGACTTTTTGTCCACGAAGACCTTGGGTATGTTCAAGATGGGATGCCATGCAGTCGGTCACATGTTTATGGCCGATTAAACTTTCAGATGTATACCATATTATCACTGTACAGATACGCCCGTCCCTCCCAAGGGGTATTATCTCACCATCAACTGCAAAAAATGATATGTAAATTCCTGTTAAGAAGGGACGCCGGCAGATGATGCTCACTTACCAATTATCCTCCGAAGCAGATGCCATCAGGATGGTGACCTCCAACGCTCATCTTGTCCTCCTGTGTCCACGCGACCTTGTACAAAGCTCTAACCTGTAGGTAGGTAAATTTTTTTGTACCATAATATGTTTTGTCCCTAATTTTTTTTCCTCCCAAAATAATCAAATAGTTAGTGTTTAGAATAGGAGGTATAACGAACAGTTTTGTATAGAACTTTAGGGCCATAGAAAGGGAGATTAGGAGGTGAGTGGTTTCAGTATTGTTCATCATGCTTCTATTTCTTTCAATGTAATTGTAATATACTTGAGAGTGTAGAGTTGGGAGATGGGAAATCCCTTGTTTCTCCCATTCAAATAATTAGTATTTCAGAAGCAGGATCGGTTTTTTCTAATCTTCTATTAAGTGCGTGTTTTTAATCTTTGTGGTTTATTTAAATAAATCATACATATCTCTGCCCTAAACACCATTTTTGGTTTGTTGTAAAAAGATCATTGAATGTATTGCAAAAGTGGGAAAAAAAATAAATAAATAAATAAAAATTCTTATGGTACAGAAGTGAATTTATTGTCTGGTTGCGCAAACAATAGCCCTTGTTGGTTCCTACTAAGGTAATGAGGTTGTGTTGCTGAAACCGTGTTAGGTTGTGTAATGCTGAAACTACGTCGGGTTGTGCCATGTCGAATACTAACTTGGCCAGTGCCACTGCTGGATAGCGTTTTGCTCGGAATTCTTACACTTACATTAACGTCGAATATTATTTATAATTAGACCTTTGCTATTGCTCCATCTTTCATTATTTGTTTGATGCACAAAATTCAGATTCTAACCATTATTGAGACAATCAACTTGGGTTTTCTTGAAGAGAAAGAACGAAAGATCCTGACTTAATGTATAGAATCAAGTAAGATATTGAATATTTGTTAGTAGGGTCAACTACACCTAATTATCGGACCAATAATATCATGGTTGTTGATTTCATTGGAGTTAATGATGCTTTGTTGTTTGCAAAACCGTAAGATGTGGGGGAGAACCGACTAATTAAGTAAGAATGTTATGTAACATGGTACTATAGCCTCAAAAAAAAAAAAAAAAAAAAAAAGAAAAAAAAAAAAGTAAGATGGTATTACAACTCTTACTTTTTAAGTTAAAAAAGAGAAGAGGATGAATGTTGCAATGATATTGTTTATAGGGGTAAAATTTATTCAGGAATTAACTAAACAAATTTTCTTGTCGATTAGATCGGAGTCCTCTTACCCCCTTCTATTCAAAAGGTTTGTACCTCATTTGATAACTAAATTACTCTAGAACGTTTTATGTGTGGCTGACCATATCATGTAACCAATTATAAAAGAAAAAGAATAAAGTAAACTTCTATAACACTGATCGAATAACTCTTATAACAATAACTAATTAACTCCTACCGATTACTGAATGGGTGACCCTCATGATGGCTGGCCGAACAGTACGACCAACCACATATAAGGATATTTGATTATCATTCATTTGTTATCTTTATTCCATGAAATTCGAAAATGCTTAGGATCCATTACCCACTTTTTACTAAAATCAACCTTACTATTTTATGATATGCTTTATTCGAAATTCCTTTTTAGGTAAACATCTTTAATTTTATAAACGAAAGTCCTTTTCAATTTAGCTGGCTGTCTCAATATTGAAAACAAAATTTATGGTTAGGGAAAATCTTGCATTTCGTATGAGGATATATTTATGGTATTATTGGGAACAACACTATTCAAGGATAACTATTAATGTATCGCACTAAAAGATACATTTTCATATATGGTTTATCCCCGTTTTCTTGAGTTCTACTCAATTATTATAGCAACAAAAAACAAGAAAAACACAAATGGTTAAATACTTCGTACTTTGTATAATTAGGTCATAAAAGTGGAATGACATATGACAAAATATGAATAAAAGGTTGACATAAACGGAATAAAGTAAATAAAATTTAGAAAAACAGATGAAATAAAAAGTGAGTAAAACTTGAAAAAACATAGAAAATACTACTGTAGTACATTAGTATGGTTTTGGATGTACCAAAGTCCATGCATATACGAGTGAACAATAAATACACTTAGGTGTCATGTAATGTAGAATATATAGTATAATGCTTTAATTTAATCCTTTTAAAATTAAAAAAAAAATCTAGAAGATAGAGCAATAATCACTTGAATTTGTCTCATGCAATTTATATCAAAAAAGCCTAAATCTTAGCCCACATCACATTAAGTAATTGTCTTAATTCATAATATATGATTGCTAAAAAGCCTAAAGTTTTGCTGTCAATGGCATTATTATAACATATCGAAGCTCTTTCTTGGCTTTTAATTGGAAAAAATAAACCCTTTATTCGTTTCCCAATAATCAATGTAAGTCCTATATCACTGCTTCTAGTGTTGATTTTGCATATAATTTTAACTATTCTTTGATAAATTTATTATAACCGACAAACCGTCGGTATGATGCTATTGCTTGTCAAACATGAAATCAGCTATGCAAGAAATTGTTTTTTGAGATTATGTTATGCAATTTGTCAATTTTGGTACGATATGCATTTAAGGGTAACTCATGATCAAACAACAACTATGATAAGTCAAAGATCTTCTACGGAGTACTATTTTTTTGCGGATACGTACACACACTTCGTATTTATTGTCATTCCATATGGGCTTGTGAGTCACAAGTCAATTGGAATTGACCTTTCTGTTGATGCATAGATAAGGTTGCGTATATCTGAACCTCTGTTTTTGTAGAACGAGACACTTCTTTTAGAGGTCCTTAAGGACTCGTTATTAAGTATTTGCGTTTCATGAGCAATTACAGCTCTAATCAAGTCGTACATCTTACTTTCCTTTTGATCATTAAAGCGGCCATAGAAGTATATAGCTCAGATCAAAACTTATACAAGTATACAAAGTATAAAAGCATTACAACACACGTCCAAAGCATAACCTGTATCTTGAGCTGTTATTTTTGTTTTGAACAATTACAAAGTAATTATTCAGTCACTGAAGAAAACATAATGCAACAATTTAAAACAAATTATATCATTGTGCTAATCCTTTTGATAATGACAGAAAGATTCTCAATAACCCTGTAAATTTCCTCTGTTTTTGGATGAGACCTGTCATTATACACAAACTTACAGGTTGATCCTCCTAGTTCTACCCAACTACATCCTACTTCTTTCTTCAGATCCTGTTGTTTCATCGCCGTTCTAATGTTTTCTGATTCATCCCATAATCCCTTTGCAGCATATATATTCGATAAGAGCACGTTCATCTCAGCATTTGGAGGGCTAGTTTTCAGAATCTTTAGTGAAACTATCTCTCCAAGCTCAAAATTTCCGTGTAATTTACAATAGTTCAATAAGGTTTCCCAAGCATAGGATGGAGAATCTAATGGCATTTGTTCTACCAACTCATAAGCTTCATATAACATGCCAGATCTTCCAAACAGATCAACCATGCACGCATAATGATCAGGCCGTGGAGTAATATGCCACTCGCTTTCCATAGACTTGAAATAAATTTGTCCTTCTTTAACTAGACCTTGATGTGCACAAGCAGTCAAGAGGGCTAGAAATGTAACATGGTTAGGTTTACAGCCTGACTGAATCATAGAAGAGTGAAGCTCGAGTGCCTGACCTACAGATCCATGGTATGCTTGAGCCACTATCATGGTATTCCAAGTCACAGTATCTCGATAATCTATGCTTCTGAACAAGGTGGCAGCATCATTTATCAGCCCACATTTAGAATACATTGATATAAGTGAACTAGAAACCAATACATCATGCACATAACTAGTCTTAATTGTTTGTAGATGGAGTGCTTTACCCCAACCATGTAGAGCAAGTGAACCGCACACAGACACAATGGTTATGTATGTCGTTTGATCAGGCCTAAATTCTCGTCTTTTCATTTCAGAAAACAAATACAAAGCTTCCTCTGTTTGAATCCCAGAAATAACTGTATTCCAAGAAGCTGTATCTCTCTGAGTCATAATATTTTCGAAGAAGTTTTGAGCATTTATCATATCTCCCTCTAGGACAAACCCATATAGTATTGAATTTGATGAAATGATATTCTTCTTTGGCATCCTCCCATACAAATCCAAAGCCTCTTTTAATCTACCATTTTCAACAAACCCACTAATCATACAGTTCCAAGCAACAATGTCCTTATTCGGCATTGCTTGGAATAATTTCAAACCCTCGTCTACCATGCCATTTTGCATATAACCTCGGATCATAGCAGTCCAAGCTTGTGCATCCTTTTCGAAAGGAATATCATCAAATAAGGCCTTCGCCTCATTCATTAACCCTGCTTTTGCATAGCAAGTTAGCATACTAGTCCACGAAGCCAAATCGCGCTCAGGCATGCTTAAGAATAACTCATATGCCTCTTCAACACATCCCATTTGAACATAACCACTCAACATCCTATTACAAATACCAACATTTCGATTATAACATTGATCAATTAATTCTCTAGCCTCTACAATTCTTCCATTTTTTATATACCCATTTAACACTACATCCCAACAAACATGGGTTTTCAATTTATCTGGTATCTGATCAAACAAAATTCGCGCTTCTTCCAACTTAGCACGCCCAGTATACCCACTTAACATTGCAGTCCATGAAACAACATTCTTGGCAGGCATAGCATCAAACATACGACGAGCTTCATTAATCATATGATTTCTACCAAACCCAGAAATCATACAGTTCCAAGTCACCACATTTCTCTGCGGCATTTCATCGAACAGTTTGCGTGCAGAGTCAATATCGCCCCTTTTAAAGAAAGATGTAATCTTTGTGTTTAACGAAAAAGTATCATGGTTTGTTGATGAGATAATTGAACTATTCCCTAAACTGCGAAAGAAACCATTTCTTCTTGCAAAGTGCCGAAAATTTGAAAACATAGTATCTGGAAATGTGTTTCAGAAGAACTGTAACTTCCATGTGTAAATACAAAGAGATGACTTCATAAAACTCTACTAGTATCAGTATAATTCTAAGTGGATTATACGATTACTAGATACAAGTATATCTACCAAAAATAAAATAAAAAAATACAAGTATATTTTTAACGGGTTATATTACTATGGAATACAAGTACTCCCTTCATTACCAATTACTCACAACAAAGGAATAATATTTATGTCTCATAAATAATACTCCGTACCCTTTTATTGCTAGTAACACATAATGGAAAAAGTATTATTTTGTATTTTATTTTTTTGTTTTTAAAGAAGCAAGCTTGTCAATTTTGAATGATTGTTTGACTTTTGTCAAGATTGAGAAAACCATATTTCATTAATCTTCTCAAATTGCAATAGTTTGATTTTTGCCTTATTACATACTCCGTAATAACTTTGAATGGAAAA